CTGGTTCGCCTGACAGCAGGTCTCACTGTACGAGAGGGTGCTGCCCCAGAAAAGCACCATCGACAGGGGTGTGAAAGGTGGAAATAGCGGTGGAGTAGCCACGAATGGTCGGAGCCGCCAGGCCTTCTTCCAAACGAGCTTGCAAAAACTCCAATACTCGGACTAAATCCACAGAAAAGGGATCTGCAATCCCCCTATCTGAACACCAACACGCATAGCGGGACCACCTATCCTCATACTGAACGTTTGTCGAAACCCACCTCGAAGCCAGAATTGTGTCTGCAACTGCTGCAGGAATTCCGCGTGCTTCGAGGCTAGACCTGACAGAGGCCAAGCCACCCACTGAATCCTTGGATTGGGGTATGGCGCGCCGTTCTGAGTGAGAATGTCCGGTCGCAAAGGTAACAGAACAGGAGGCTGAGCCAGAAACCTGAGAATTACCGGAAACCAGCTCTGTGACGGCCAAAGCGGTGTCAGTAGCACAAGCAGCCGAGCTGGCTGGGTGGACAGCTGGGAGAGGACCCGGGGAATGAGTGGGAACACCCAGAGCACTCTGCCCGTCCAATCCAGCAGGAAGGCGTCGGCAGCCAACGCCCTCGGGTCCGGTATTCGAGAGCAAAACACGGGTATCTGATTCGTCCCGCCGGACGCAAACAGATCCACCTGGAAGATCTGTACAACTGGGAGATAACTCTGAATATCTGCCGGTCGAGCATCCACTCGTGCGGGGCCAGGATCCGGCGAGAGAGAGCGTCTGCTCGCACGTTCTCCAGCCCCGGGAGATAAACAGGGAGTACCTGGCAGTCGCACTGGTCGCACCAGAGGAGAAAGTCCCACATCTCCCGCAGGAGCGCTCGGGACACCGTGCCGCCTTGCTTCAGGATGTACGACATGTAAGACGAACCACCTGGCCCTGGACATGCTCTCGGAAGCGCTCGAAAACCAACCGCACAACTCTCAGTTCCAACACGTTGATGTGAAGGCGGGCTTCGGCTTCGGACCAGAGTCCGGACACCGACAGACCAGAACACACACCCCCCCAGCCCGTGAGGGACGCATCGGTCTGAACTGTAAGAGCTGGCGTCGGGATTTCCAAAGGGACCCCCTTGGAGAGATTCCCGACATTGGTCCACCACTGAAGGTAAGGAGACAACCACCCCGGGACTGTGAGACTCCGCTCCAGGTCCTCCGAGTGAGCCCACAGACTCGCCAAAGCTTGCTGTATAGGGCGCATTCTCAACCGCGCCCGCCACACTACAGAGATAGTCGCCGCCATATGGCCCAGTAGACGGAGCCAAGTCCGTGCTGGTGCCTGGGGCTGGGAGAGGAACGAAGACACCATCTCCCGTACTCTGGTGACCCGATCGGGCGACAAGGAAACAAGATCCTTGTGAGTTTGGAACCTCGCCCCGAGAAAAACCAAGTCCTGGGTGGGTACCAGGTCAGATTTCTTGAGGTTGATGATCCACCCCAGTCGAACTAGAATGTCTATCACTGTGTGAGTAGAATCTAGGCTCGCTGGCTGTGTTAGCGCTCTGAGCAACCAGTCGTCGAGGTAAGGGTAACAACGCCTTCCTTGCAACCTTTTGCGAGGGTAGCTGGCACTAACATGAGCTTGGTGAACACCCTGGGGGCAGTGGATATGCCAAAGGGGAGCACCGAAGGTACTGCTTGAACGATGGATGTATGGGCACATGTAGATACGCATCCTTTAGGTCGATTGAGGTGAGCCAATCGCCGGGCTGAACAGAGGAGATCACCGAGCGAAGTGTCTCCATCTTGAAGGATGGAACCTCTAGCATGCAATTCAACCCCTTGAGGTTGAGAATGGGACGGAACCCGCCGTCTTTCTTCGGAATGAGGAAGTACGTGGAATAAAATCCCGCCTGTTCCTCGCCCGGTGGTATGCGCTCTATAGCGGACTTGTCCAGCAAAGCCGGTCTCGGAGTATATCCGCCCGGACCTGACATGACTGCACCGGAGTGCGACGTATGCCGGTGAACTCTGGCAGACCTCGCTTCCACAGTGGTAGATGGCCGACACTGACGGTGGACAGCACCCAAGTGTTGCTTGTAGCCTTCTCCCACTCCGGCAGGAATAGAGCCGAAGGCAGCCGGCAGACTCGGGTGTAGGCTGCACCCTGGAGGAGGAAGCCGGAATGGGAGCGCGGGGCCGAGAAGCCCGCGGGTGCTCCAACAAGGCCTTAGAATCCTTGAAGGAGGTAGCTGCAGCGGCAGCCTCCCGTAAGACCTGCTGCCCCCCCAGGAAACAACGTCGCTCCCAGACGGAAGGGAAGGGCCAGCGCAAGGTCTGCTGTGTAGCTGCCGAGTAGCGAGACGTCGACAGCCACAGCTTGCGCATCCCCATGACTGCGCACATCACCGTAGACACCGCCGACCGCAAGGAGTAGCACGTTAGGTGGGCCTGAACTTCGGAGAGTTGGCGAGGAGAACGACATGCGGAGAAACGTCCCCAGCGTGCCCCTCAGCCTCCAGGGCCGACCTCGGAATCGAGGAGAGGTAGGCCTCGTGGATGACCACCCGCACCTGCTGCATAGCATTCCGGTTAAACCTCATAGGTCCGGTAAGCTTGCCGCAGGGGGGTGCCCGCGAGGGCAAAAGGTGGCACCAAACGCCCTTGCCTGGCAGCCGGAGCTGCACCGGAGGAAGCCGAGCCTCCCCCCAGGGCGACCGGAGTGAAAACACACTCATCGACCACTGGCACAAAGAACAGGGAATCGTCCCCCAGCTGGTACCTCTTGACAAGCTCAGGCAAGTCAAACCGGAGGCGTGTCCCAACCAGGAGGGGATCCACCACGTCCTGCACTGGGGACGGCAAGATGCGGAGCAGCGTCTGCGAGGGTTGCCTAGGGGCAAACGCTAGATGCCGAGGGGATCGACCACGTCCTGGACTAACGATGGAAGAATGCGGAGCTGCGTCTGCGTAGGCTGCCTAGGGGCAAACGCCTCGCCTGGCAAGCGAAACTCAGCCGAGTCCGAGCTGCTGGTAGGCACCGCGGCCTGGGGGATAAGCTCAGCAATGCGTTGCCGTACCTCCCGCAGAGCCGTCGAGAAACGGAAGGCACCCTCCTGCTCCTCTACCTCCCCAATGTCCATGGACTCGGCACCCGAGCCCGAGTCAGAGGCTGGGTCTCCTCGCGAAGAGGACCCGAACCCCGACCCGGTGGGCAGCCTGGCACCAGACACAGAGGGAAGGGAAGAGCCGAAGGAGCACCCCACTTCAGCACCCGACACCACACTCAAACCCCGGTCCCGAGACGCTGGAGGAATACCAGGCAGAACTGGTTCCTCCGCTCTCATTGGGCGGGACGGCGCAGGGACCGGAACCCCAGGAATCCTCAACGGACCCTGCGCCAACACCGAGAAGGGCACTGGGAGCGAACCCTCCCCCTCCGGGGTAGCCGAGGCGTCTGGACCCGAAGCCAGAGGCAACGGATTGACAGACGCCTCCAGGCCAAAGGATCGAGCTCGGTGATCCCACCCCTGGACTCTCCGTCCCCTGCTCCGAGTGGGCGAGGAACTCCTGGCGGAGACCTCCAACCGACTCGTCAACAAGGGACTTCACGGAGTCCATGTGCTGCTGAAAAAGCTGTGTGATAACTGACATGTCAAAACCGCTGGGAGCAGTAGAAGGCGCCTGACTGCACGACTTAGCCTTTTTGCCCGTTTTAGGTTTTTTGGCTTTAGACGGGGGGGACCTGGGTCAGTTCCCCTCCAGCCTCTCGCATTTCCCTATAAAAGAGGAAATCTGCAGCCCGTCTCTTCTGGGCTCGGGGGGAGAAGCCCATACATATTTCACACGTGTCTCGAGATTATGTCCGACTTTCTCTAGACAAACGAGACACTTGTCATGCCTGTCTGCTCTGGGTATACTTTATCCGCAGACAGTACAACCGGAAAACACCTGAAAGCAAACACGCAAGCATGTAGCTAACAGCGGAGCCAGCAGCATAAATATACACGTACAAAACATTGAAAATTACGTGAATGCGACCACAGGGAGAAATACTTGGTTAAAAGGCAATATGACAACCGCGTGGCAAGCTAAACTTCCCGCCATGGTAAAGCAACACGTGCGTAAACCATGGGAAAGTTAGCGTAAAATATTTAATACAAAGTCACAATTATGAGACAACCGACCGCAAAGCTTTACTGTTCCGTTCAAGGAAAAATAAAATAGACCCTACATACAGGTGGTGGTGTCCCAGACATTATTCTCTTAAACTTCGTTTTTTGGAAGGAGTTCAGCTCTACTCTACACATCCATTCAATGGAGTGACAGCAGAAGGAATGATGATACGGGCCTAGGTGCTTACCTGGTTGGCTGCGCATGCGTAGCGGGAGGTAACTCCACGAGGTGGGGGCCGTATAATAGATAAAAAAGATTTGTATTTATTGTACAATATTTTTATTAAAACATTGATACAACTGTCACAGGACATTTTCAGCGCAGAAAATACATATATGTACCCCAAGGACGATCTCTATGAAAAAGAACTCCAAATACCTTCATCCATTTTTACCTCAGGGATGTTGCTCCCTCTAGTGAAGGCTTACATTCATTAGGACCTTTAGTAGCGGCTCAGCACCTCGCCTCCTCTCTCTGTGTATCCTTAGAAGATGTCATAGATGTGTTGTTTTTTAGAAAAATTATGAAGGGTTCTAGGAGAACAATACAGTGACATCAGATCAAGGGAGATAACTCAGGGATAGACTAGGTATACCACTAGGAATAGCTATGACTTAGTGTTAAAATTTCTTTTGATTTTCTTTGTGTATTCTGTGTATCCACAGGAATAAGGCTACCATAATCCAGAGGCAAGTTTACTAACAATTACTAACAATACATGTAATTGTTCCTATTCTGCGAGAACTGATAATACAAGTATACTCGTTGTGGCAGTCACCGTATTAACTGGAAGTCAACAGTGGATTGCAGATATTTCAAGATAAATGTATTCAATGATTATGTTATTTCAGAAGCTGTCAATCAACTCCCAGCTGCGAACCTGCTTGAGTATTCTTCAGTATCATGTGGTGAGTGTTTCAGTATATTATATGACAGCATCGTCGACTCCCATCCTCGAACAACTTCACTGACTCCCCATATCCTTCAGAATCAATTTCAAGCTTCTCCTCCTGACACACAGCTGCATTTACGATAATGACTTACCCAAATATCTGAAGAAGCTTGTAACTCTCCATACTCCCAACAGATCACTCCGCTCCAGCAACTCCTTTCTTCTCTCCCAGCCAACCACCAATTCCACAATGGGTGACAGAGCCTTCTCAGCTGCAGCTCCACTGCTCTTGAACAGCCTTCCTATCACTATCAGAGAAATCAACTGTAAAGAATCTTTCAAAAAAGCCCTAAAAACCCATCTGTTCTCAATATCCCTCTCATAGACTTTTATTACTCTCATCTTCAGCGCCATTGAGCAAATACTTTTGGAAGCAGGCGTTATATAAATTCATTATCATTATCATTATGTTTTGTCTGTGATTATATATATTCCATATCGGTAAATGAAATGACGGAAACAGATTCTGTTGTTGATATTTTCATCAAGCTTAAGTAATGAATTGTTATACCTTGTATTACCTTGAATCTTAGATGACTTGTCAAAGAGTTACCTCCCTTCACAAGATGATCTTCCAACACTACAATTTCCTGATCTCCTGTTTTCAAATCTGCCAGTAGCAAGTGACAAAATGCAAGGCAGGTTCTTAAAAGCCTTGAATCGCCCTTATGTTGTTCTTACATAGATACAGCCACCCTTCTGGACACTGTCCCATCCCAAACAATCAGGTCTGTTGTATTTGGCAACATGAACCAAGGGAAGTAACTCGTAATGACACTTACTGAAACAAGGATACCAATACAGAACTTCATATTTTAAGTGTGTTTCAGTCATTTGCAGCAGCTCAAAATCACTATACATCAACTTACAAGCACAACACTCTTTACTACTAAAAACATTTATGAAAATATAACATTTCTCAGAACGTGTGAGATTGGACAGAGCTAGCTAGTTTCAGCTTTATTTGAGTGCCAATTAGATCTTAAACTACTGTCGACATATGCAAGTGAGCTACAGTACCTACACACTATTTCCCTGTTTGTTTCAGCATCAAAGACCAGAACTGCTGAAGAGCTCCAAGTTTGGTTTCCAAGACATCTATGAGGCATTCAGGGAGTTTGCTGTAAAGAGACAAGCACGGCAGGATACTCGGTGGGTGACGTTACAGCCAGCCCTTACATAGCTAAACTGTATTGTTTTATTTGGAAAATAGGTAATCTTCATGTCTGCATAAGTTTACATTCAAATGTCCTTTTAGTTTGAAGAAAAAGTATGCAATGGCAGATATCCTTCAAAACAGTAAATTTTTAAACTTATCCTATCTCACGGTATGCACCTCTCCTCTTCTTCTACGACCATGTGTGGAAACGTGCTGTAGGCTAAGTTGCATCAAATCTTGCTGGCCTCTGACCCACCCTGACCTCTGACCCCACTCCGACATCAGCACCTGTCAATCATCTCCGTAAGCGTGCAGCTCGCTCAGATGATCATGTGACTACCTGTGCCTGTCATTCTCTTTCTTGTTGCTACGTCGTGTGGACGTGTGTTGTTCTCTCAGTTAGACATTATTTGATTGTCAAGATGGGAAATAAATGGAATCAAAGTTCTTCTAAGAAACGCAGACACTGTGATCAGTGCAACAGCAACATTTCCGCTGCTGATCCACACGCTTTGTCTGTGGATTGTATAGGCTGTTGTAGTTGGTCACATCGGTGTTCTGTTTGTTCATGCTTCAATGATGATGTTTTTTCTGAATATCGACGGGTTGCATCTAGATGTAGATTTTTTAGGGGTGGCCTCAAGACTCCTACTTGAGCGAGTATCTCCGTCGTCTCTTTCGTCATCAAACGTCTAGTCCCGTCTCCAGACAAGTTTTATCTGCTCCGAGAGTGGTACCTAGTGCTAACAACCTCTGTAGCACAGTCTCGGCCTTTTACCTTGGCAGGTGGTTGTTTCCAGTGCGCCGCTTTGGTTGAGTGCTCCACCCCCCTCTGCTTTGGTGGGTTCGATTGGTGAAAGCGTTCACTCTCATGTGGCGAGTGCAGTCAGTTCGGCGCTTTCAACCACAGGGATCAGTTCGGCGCTTCAACCTATGCGCCGCTTGCTTCCAATGCGGCGTTTTGTTCCAGTTCGGCGCTCTCATATCTTTCTGTGGTGACATCAGCCATGACGGTAGCATCCAGTGCGGCGCTTTCAACACCTTTCCCGTACCTTGCAGGCGCATTCGATTGGATCAACACTTCAGCCCAGAGTGCCTTTTCGATTGGATCGGCGCTTCGGGCCAGTGTTCCGTTTTCGATTGGGGCAACGATTCAACTTAGTGAACTGTTGTTTGGTTGGAACACCTTTTAGTCCAGTACACCTTTACTGTATGGTACGACGTTTAAGACGAATGCATCGGTCCTGATTGGCTCAGCGCTTTAGAACCTGATCACTTGACACAACTGGATCACAGTACCGAACCAGATCACCTAATCGATCCTGATCGCTGCACCATACCAGATCGCCGCTCCAACAGTGTTCGCCGATCCGACAGTGTTCGCTGGACTGTCAGCTTTCGCCGAATCATCTGGTTCCCTCTATGCGCATACTGTCATCATGGTTTGTTTACTAGTTCGTACACTACGGTACCTACAGTGACTTTGTCTACTGCAGTTCTACTTCAACACTTTTTCCAACTTCGGCGTTGATACCTCATTTCTACAGTTTTTCAGCTTGGCTTTGGGGTTACGCTTCCTGCTTCTTTGGTGTTTGTGAACAGACAGAGCGTTCACACCAGTACGCCACTCTCTTATGTATCAACGCTTCCATCCAGTGCAACACTTTCTTATGTATCAGCGCTTCCATCCAGAGCGCCGTTTCACTCCAGTGCGCCGCTCTCTTATGTATCAAGGTGCAGTGGGGTAGCCTAGTGGTTGAGTCGTTGGCTCGTCACGCCAAAGACCCGGGTTTGAATCCCCCGCATGGGTGCGGTGTGTGGGGCCCATTTCTGTGTTGCTGGGATGTTGCTAAAAGCGGCGTAAAACCAAAGTCACTCACTCCTACGTGTCGATGCTTCCATCCAGTGCGACACTTCCTTAGGTATCAACGCTTCCATCCAGAGCGCCACTTCACTCCAAGCGCCGCTCTCTTCTGTATCAACGCTTTCATCCAGTATGGGGCTTCCAGTTAGTGCATCGTTTCGGTTGGTTGCACAGAGGTAGCAGTTATGTCAGTAGCGCAGGCCTCTACATTACAGCGGTGATTGATGATCTCGGATTCTTAAGATTCCTCCGTCATCTACCATCCGATCTTCACCTTTCATGAATGATTCGATTCATCGAATCTATCTACCCTTCGACGTAGATATCAGCTCTACAACCACCCGGTTTGACATATTTGTCCAGACACTTGACGATGATGTGAAAGGAAGGGTGTTGAGGCTTGCGAAACAGACCACGATTACACCCAGTGATACACCACACAGCTGCTACGAGTAGTCGGTATATAGTAACAATACTCAGTGAAGCGTTGGACAATATTCCTGCATATCAAGCTGGTCTATTTGTGCACAGTTTCTGCGTGTGGTACCAGCAGTGACGTTTGGTCAAGTAGCTAGCGTCACTTTACCCAGATTTTATGGGTTGGGACTCGCCTGGTTGATTGACATCCGTGTTGTCCGGGTTTTTGTCGTTATTGCATTGTCGGTAGCATTTGCAATGGCGGACTACTGTTTGTTTACCAGAGACTTTTGATGATACATCGATTAAGGAGTACCTGACAGACTTGTCTTGGTCCCACGAGCGGATACCTATCCCAGCCTTTAATTGCCAGTTATGATGAAGGGTGCCATTCCCGGTAGGAGTGATTATGTCGAGTTTGTCAGTCAGCCGGGAGATACAGTTTACCGAGGGTGCCAGACGGAATCGCCGGGACACTTTCACTTGGCTGGGTTTACTCGTTTTTTTAGCTGAAGGCCTCAGTTCAGAGGTCACTGCAGCTATGTCCGGACTGTCCGTAGGCATCGATGTTTCTATCGAACGTGGCTGGAGTCATTGGTCTTTTTTACCTCTGCCATTCCATCAACTTTACCAATGTTCCGGTAGACTGACGATCCCATGCATCGTATCTACTAACGTTCTCACTCCATCTGGCGGACCAACACTTCATTTGGCTGAACTATACGTTCCTACAATCACTGTTTATATGGCCTTCATCACTCTGTGTACAATGTGTATGTTCCTGACATCTCCATGCCACGAAACCTCCTACATTCAGCACTTCTTCAGTGCTGTCATGGTAGCTTGGCTACTTGAATGTATCCTATCTCAGACGGCTGTTCTATGCTCCACAATAGACACTCTCCTTCAGAAACTTGCGATCGAGCCCTGGGCCTGGCTCTGACCAACCCGGGGTTCTATTTGCCAATCTTTCTGGTGCCAAAAAAAGATTCAGACAAGTTGAGACTAATTTTCAATATGAAGGTTTTCCATAAAATGTTTCTACAACCTCCGCCTCACTTTCGTATGGTGTCGGTGGCTCTTCTCAACAATCATCAAGCCGGAGACTACATGGTCAGTCTCGATCTCCAGGATGAGTACCTTCACATCCCGATTTTTCCGGCTCTTCGCAAGTTCCTTCGGTTTGTCTTCGAGGGCACACACTATCAGTGGCGTGTCCTCCCGTTTGGAATTTCTTCGGCCCCGTGGCTGTTCACACGGGCATCGAAGCCTATCACCTGTTTCCTTCACCGCAAGGGGATAGTGTTCAAAGCTTACATCGACGACTGCATTCAGGTGCAGACCAATCATGCCCTTCTGCTTCATCACATGCAGTTTGCGATACAGCTTCTTCGCTAATTAGGCTGGTTTGTCAATCTGCAGAAATCGAAAATAGCCCCTACGCGCTGTCTTCAATTCATTGGAGCAGTATTTCGTCACAGAGGCCAACAAACTCTTTGTCCCGAGAGATCGTTTCTGAAAGATTCAGCGATTGGTTTCTCTGGCACTGGCGCAACCCAGGACGCTTCGTCAGTGGCAGGAGCTCCTGGGCCTCTTGACGTTGGTTCAGTCGTTGACCCTCAGGGGTCAACTACAACTTTGTCCCTTGCAGTTCTTTCTAGCGCCTTACATCAGAGTGGGAGATCTCGTTGCCTTGATCACTCTACCTCTGCAGCTCCATCCCCATCTCCTGTGGTGGATGGAAGCATTGAATGTTTGCGACAGTTTGTTTAGGGCCATTTGTTCCGTCTCACCACCTGTATGTGGACGCGTCTCTACATGGTTGGGGAGCTCATCTCCTCAATCAACTAGTGGCAGGGCGGTGGTCTCCCATCGATCGCGCCTTTCACATCAACGTTCTGGAGTTCAGGGCGGTGATGCTTGCAATCAGTCACTGGCAGGATGTCCTACGAGCAACTTCCCTCATGATCCAGTCAGACAACGCAGCGGTGGTTTGGCATATCAACAGGATGGGGTCCACGGGGTCTACTCAACTGCTACAGTGGACCCAACGGTTCTTCGATCTTGTGGACTCTCTCCACATCTTGGTACGAGCCACCCACATTCCGGGAGTGTAGAATGTCATCGCAGATTCTCTGTCCCGACCGAGTCGTCCCTCTCCAACGGAATGGAAATTGCATCCTCAGGTGTTCCAGACCTTTTGCCTTCCGTTGACGACTCCGACAGTGGATCTCTTCGCTACTCGATTCAACCATCAGCTGCCTCGGTTTGTGTCACCGATTCCGGATCCTCTGGCTTGGGACCTCGATGCTCTAGCCATTCCGTGGGAGGAACTGAACGCTTACGCGTTTCCACCACTGGCCCCTTCTTCCTTGCGTATTAGTGAAGCGCGCAACTCAGAGGTTGACTCTGCTCTTGGTCGTGCCCTATCGGCCGGCCAGCAGCTGGTTCGTAAACCTTCAAGACCTAGCCGAACCAGATCCCGTGCCACTTCCTGTTCGGTCCAATCTACTGGTACATCCACACTCCGACAAACTACATTGGTCCCCGATGACGCTCCATCTGCATGTTTGGCGCATCTACATAGGTCGTTAACGGCTAAGGGCTATTCTAAGCGTGTGGCTACTGCCATTACTACAGCGCATCATACTTCTACGAGGTCACTCTACGATGACAAATGGAAGAATTTTGAAGCATATTGCAGGAAGAGGGGTGTCTCATCCCCCACTACGGCGTCCCCGCAGATGGTGGCAGAGTACCTTCAGCATCTCCGAACCTCCAGAAAACTCAAAGGTTCTACACTATCTACCTATCTGGTGGCTCTTAACACGGTTATTGCAGCGGCCTCAGGTGTGAAGGTGTCCACTGTCCCTGAACTCCAGTCTCTCCTCTGGTCTTACAAACTGGCTGACCAATCTCGGAAGTTCCGGCCTCCAGCTTGGGATCTTTCCGTTGTACTTGCTCATCCTACGTCAGCTGATTATGAACCTTTGGAGGAGAAAGATTTCGAACATCTCTTGGCCTTGGCTACGGCTGCTCGTATTTCTGAGTTGCATGCTCTTGATGTTTCTCGGGTGCGGTTTGAAAGGTCTAGACATGCGAAAGTTTTCCTTGGTTTGTGGTGGGATTTCTCGCCAAGAATCAGTTACCAGGACAGCCGGATCGCACATTCACGATTCCGCCGTTGTCCACTATCTTGGGCCCAGATGACACTGAGGATCTGTCCTTATGCCCGGTGCGTGCATTAAGGATTTACCTAGCTGCCTCACAGGATCGCTGCAGACTGCGTAAGAGATTGTTCCTTCCATTGTCTACTGCCTCCAACTCGGAAGTCTCCCGTACTACCTTGGCATTTTGGATGAGAACTACGATCCTGTGTGCTTATGCCGTTGCTGACCTACCTCCACCGTCGACGGCGAAGCCTCATGAGACTCGAGCTCTTGCCTCCACTATGGCTCTTCACAGAAATTGTTCCCTGCAGTCCATCATGGAGGGCTGTTTTTGGCGATCCGATACGGTGTTTGCTTCACACTACCTGAGGGACCTATCGGTTACAGACGTGGAAGGTCTACATCAATTCGGCCCCTTGGTCCTGGCGCAGCAATTGTCATCGGCCCGTGTTCGCAGATAAAGCAGTCCTTCCTTGGTCGGTTTTGCTCTGTACCTAATATAAGATATCGATGTAATCCATATCTTGGTACTTTTTTCTCTTGGGCTTAGATCATTCTCACCTATGGGAATAGGGCGTGTCTGCACTGTCATAAGTTGTGACTTGATAGACTGTGAGGCCAGTTTTGTGCTACATGCAGAGATGATCGACACTCCGTTTACTGACCTCTACTCCCTGAGCAATTACGTCAGTGAAGTGTTGATTTCCGATTACCTACATGGTTTTCGAAGCGTTCTGCTCCTGAGTCCTTTCTCACCTTTGGTAAGTTAGGGAGATTGGTACTGAACGTTAAACTAGTTGAGCATCTGAACTATTCCCTCTTTCACCGCCTTCCAGCGGGTGTCTGTGGGGGGGTAGTTTCGAAGCAGGGACTGGCCAGATTAAGGTCTTCGACTTTAATTCACTGGGGTCACCTGATAAATCACGGGGCGGCGGGGCCTACTTGCCAAACTTCGTCCTTTTGCTTGTCAAAGTTGCGCGAACAAAACCACATTAATTCGGGAGCGCCCACTCCCTAGAGTTTTTGTGCTGTGTAAGCCAAGGGGTTACGTGAAGAAACCAATCTCAAGTTGGAGTTTGCATATCGGGAGTTGGTGCTTTCTCCTGGCCTCCTTGGGTTATGCGCTTTTCCTGGTGGTAGTAACGGGGTAATCTGCGACCAGCCTACCATCCATCGGATTGTGCATACCTTCAGATAGGATAAGTTTAAAAATTTGAAAATTTTATAATAAATTGTATATTTATATACTTATCCTATCTCACGTGATGGACCCACCCGACCTGCCCCACTTCACAGATTACTGGAAGCTCCAAGACGAGAATGACAGGCACAGGTAGTCACATGATCATCTGAGCGAGCTCCACGCTTGCGGAGATGATTGACAGGTGCTGATGTCGGAGTGTGGGCAGAGGTCAGGGGGTCAGAGGCCAGTAAGATTTGATGCAACTTAGCCTACAGCACGTTTCCACACATGGTCGTAGAAGAAGAGGAGAGGTGCATACCGTGAGATAGGATAAGTATATAAATATACAATTTATTATAAAATTTTCAATTTCTTGTTTAAGCTTTGTTGTTTACATCCCAGCAGGTTGATAATAAAGTACTGTCTGTTGGGACTTAACTGGACAAGTTGCTACAAGATTCTATTTCACTTTGTAGACTTTGTTGAAGACTGCAGGCCTCTATCTCTTGTTTACATTGCAGGCCTATATCCCATGTTTCACATTGCAGGCCTATATCCCATCTTTCACATTGCAGGCGTATATCCTATGTTTCACATTGCAAACCTCTATCCCATGTTTCACATTGCAAGCGTATATATCCCATGTTTCACATTGCAGGCCTATATCCCATCTTTCACATTGCAGGCTTATATCATGTTTCACATTGCAGGCCACCTCTTCTTTTCCCAGGCTTATATCACTTGTTTCACATTGTATGACTCTATCCCATGTTTCACATTGCAGGCCTCTATCACTTCTTTCACATTGCAGGCTTATATCACTTGTTTCACATTGTATGACTCCATCCCATGTTTCACATTGCAGGCCTCTATCACTTCTTTCACATTGCAGGCTTATATCACTTGTTTCACATTGTATGACTCCATCCCATGTTTCACATTGCAGGCCACTATCACTTCTTTCACATTGCAGGCTTATATCACTTGTTTCACATTGTATGACTCCATCCCATGTTTCACATTGCAGGCCACTATCACTTCTTTCACATTGCAGGCTTATATCACTTGTTTCACATTGTATGACTCCATCCCATGTTTCACATTGCAGGCCACTATCACTTCTTTCACATTGCAGGCTTATATCACTTGTTTCACATTGTATGACTCCATCCCATGTTTCACATTGCAGGCCACTATCACTTCTTTCACATTGCAGGCTTATATCACTTGTTTCACATTGTATGACTCCATCCCATGTTTCACATTGCAGGCCACTATCACTTTGCAGGCTTATTTCACATTGCAGGCCACTATCACATGTTTCACATTGCAAGACTATATCCCATGTTTCACATTGCAGGCCACTATCACTTCTTTCACATTGCAGGCTTATATCACTTGTTTCACATTGTATGACTCCATCCCATGTTTCACATTGCAGGCCACTATCACTTCTTTCACATTGCAGGCTTATATCACTTGTTTCACATTGTATGACTCCATCCCATGTTTCACATTGCAAGCCTCTATCACTTGTTTCACATTGCAGGCAGCTGTATTTTGTGAAGACAGACATCAATAAATGCTATGACTCAATCATGCAACAGAAACTCTACACCATAGTCAAGGACATCTTAGAGGTAAGGTGCTAGAGACTCGTTACAGGTGAAAATTTGTGGCAGGTGATGTGGACATACATGGTTATCTTTGAGGGTGATGGAAAAAACTGTGTTGACCACATCATTTCACTGTGCATGTGGAGTATCGTCCCTTGGTTGTGTCAGAATCCTATGATTAATTTATGCTGTAAAATATAATCATTGTTCTGTCAGTATAATCTGGATCTGATCTAGCTAATATGTTGCTAAATACTGTTGAAAGCATCTTAACATTCCGCTGGCTCATTATGTCTCAATATGACACTCACTTAATCACCTTAATTCTACATATTCTCTTATTTTTCCTTATCCTGACTCATTATCTTTGCTTATCTCCCTTTCCCTTTCGAATGGTAGTGGAACACTTGAATCCCTTGAAGTTCCCGACGCGGACGTATAAATACACTCACCCACGAGTTACCTCCCTTTGCCCTTTCCCCGCGCAAACCAGTCATGTGACACGCCTTACTTGTCACTCTCTCCCTTTTCGCCCAAGCGGATGGTTGGGCGAGCACTGGAGTCCCGTATACGGCAATTCTATTGTTTATATTTAGGCCTATTCTTCTAAATTTAGCTGTGTATGGTTTTTGGTTATAATTATTATGTAGTATTGTACAAAATTGTTGGAATTTATTGACTTTGAGTCGTGTTTTCATCGTGTTGTAACTTTGTTTACAATTCATGAAATTCTGCTGTGTGTGTAAACACAGGTTGTCCGTGGCTGATCCTTACCCCCAATGTCCATCGTGTACAGATCCATGTTCATCCACCTTGCGTTATATCTACTGTATTGATTTAACTGATTTACAATTTAATCAATAATTGTCTTATGTCTATAGACGTGCCATGGATCGGGTGAAAAAGACATCTCTAGCTATGTTGCTTGCTTCTGATGTTCATAATAGTGATATGTTGCCTAGTACGTTACAGGGCCAATCTGCGGCAAAGGGGTCTAAGAAAAGGTCGTCTACCTCGCAACCTACGCCGTCCCAGTCTAAGAAGAAGACGGTGTCCTCCTCTACTATGCAGAGAAAGTCTACGAGTACTGGATCTGAGGGCAAATCTACACGTGCTACCGCTACTACGCAGAGATCTTTCAACGATGAGATCGTACCACCTAATGAGGAAGACGTGTTTGACCACCCCCCTATACTACTACCTGAGGTATCGATGACATCTATGACGCAGTCGACCTCAACTACTACGAGATCATTACCTATGAATGTCACAGCAGGAAGTTGAGGCACAGGAAACAGCAATATAGTTTTGGCTATCATAATAATATATTATGTGTAAATTATGTACGAAATGTTTTTGAATTGTGCCATTTTTTCATGCTATGTAATTGTGTTTACATTTCATGAAATCATGTGTTGTTTGCAGGCACAGGTTGTCTCGTGCTGATCCTCACCCCCTATGCCTTTCGTGCAGTACACCATGTTATTCCAACTCACGTTGTAATTATTGTGTTGATTTGTCACAAATACAATTTAACCAATATTTATCATATGTATTCAGACGTGCCATGGACAGGGTGAGGAAATTATCGGCAGTCACAATGGATAAGAACAGAGATGAGCCTGCATGCCGTGAGTTGTCTGTTGCAGTTGAGATGCAACTCTGGTGATAATTGGAGTTCGTTACAGGGGCAGTAAGCTATTACGGGCGCTAAAAAGAAGACAACTACCTCACAGCCTACGTCATCTCTTAAGAAGTAGACATCATCCTCCACGTCGCAGATGAAGGCAACTGCAGCTATGGGGAAGTCGGTGCGTCCTAAGTAGTCGTCCCAGCATAGATCTTTCAGCGGAGACATTCTACCCCTTGACGAGATAGACGTCTTCGATGATCCGCCGATACTTCTACCTGAAGTACCGATGAGGGTGACGATTTCTTCAACATCTATGACTAGATCTTCCCCTGCAACGATCATAACTTGCCAGATATCTGATGATCTACCTCCAGCATCTCAACGCAGTGAACCAGGGGTACTCAACACTTCAGCGTTTGCGAACGCTTCGTCTTCAGACAACCCAGAACTTCGACCCTGGCGAGTTTATGACGCAGTTCACCAACCAGATGATGTCCATGATGGAGCGGGAGGTTCGCGGAAGAAGCACAGGCTCGCTCGGCGAAGCCTCTTAGCTGCAGGAAGGGTTCGTGAACCCTCAGATCTCGCGATGAAGATACAGGCCTCAGTCAACCCTCTACGCAGACATCGGCGGTGAGAGATAGCGTTCGCGAGCGTACACCTCTCGCGATCGTCCACTCAACAATCTACTTCTGCGAACCCTCAGTCATCTGCAGAGAGATCGTCAGACTCCAGACGCAGCAGAGCAACGAGTTTGGACGTCATCATCTTCAAGTCGCTCCAGATCTAGATCTGGCAGACATTCACAAAGCTATTCACCACATCATAGAGGTTCGCGAAGCTCACACCACAGAGCATCGCATGAGCATAGATCATCCTACAGTGGCAGCCTGCAGAGCAGACGTTCGCGAAAGCACAGCTCTCATTATTCGAAGTCACAAAGTAATGAATCAGCAGTAGAAGGTTCGCGAAGGCACAGCTCTCCTTTCAAGGGTTCTCGAAAGCACAGCTCTCATTACAAGGGTTCGTGAAAGGATGATGAGTCATCCAGAGGTTCGCTAACACATCTTTCCCAAGATAAAGGTTTGCAAAGAGGGGAATCATCTGAGAAGGGTTCGTGAAAGGAGGACAGCACACGAGGGAATGCAGATTCACAGGCAGATGAACAGCGCAGTATCAGCTCTATTCAACAACCACTACAGGAGCAACAAGAAGACCTTGTGTTTCCTGATCCAGAGATTACAGCTGGATAACTAACGGCCTGAATCTGCAGTCACCATCTAAAGATACAGACGACATCCTCTCCTATCAGATACATGATGACAAACAAACGCAGACATCTACAGGGTTCGCGAACTCTCAGATCTACAGGCAGATATCAGCAACGCAGACATCTAGAAGGTTCACGAACTCTCAGATCTACAGGCAGATATCAGCAAGCAGACATCTACAGGGTTCGCGAATCCAAGGTTTAAGAACCTTAGGTCAACAGGCAGAATGTTTACGTAAACTCAACAAAAAGATCTACAACATGTGCGATCTCCAATGGCTTTATGGTTATTATTCATACGAATAATCAAGACTATCGGCACCGATCGATAACATCGAGGTCTATGCAGTGTCGGGTATCTGGACGACATGCAGTTTTCTTCAAAGTGCCAATCAACTTTGACAGCAGCTGAACTTCACAATTAAGTTGCTCACGCAACTGGGATGGCTAATTATCCTGATGAAGTTGCAGTTAGAATCAACAAGATCTTCTATTGCTGGGAATCATCACAACAGAGAACCGTATTGTCATCCCAGAAGATCGTTGGGTTAAGATACAAGCCATCATACCACAAGCAGTCATCTCTCCGTTTACACTACGATCATGGCAAGTTCTACTGGGTCTACTAACCTCAGCACGATACCCGTACAGGAAGATTACAACTGAGGCCGTTGCATCGATTCCTGACAAAACATCTAGACAGCGTCGATCCCATCTCGCTACCAGACAACCTCAAGAGGTATCTACTCTGGTGGACTACCAGAGTGGCCGAACCTCCTAGTACATCCGCACACCAAGCAAGCACATGGGAACCCAGCAGTGTTCCAGTTACACGTATGGACCGTATCAAAGCATGCTTGACGAAGAGAGGATACTCTGCCAGAGCAGCCATCTATAAACCTCGGCCCAGAGGATATAGAAGATTTATCCTTGTGTCCAGTCAGAGCTCTGAAGATATATCTTCAAAGGACTAAGACAAGGAGGCAAAAAGTTCAAGTGCCTATTCATCACGTTATCTACAGAGACAATGACAGAGGTCTCGAGAATGATATCGTTTTGGATGAGAGCCATCATACTGAGAGCCTATAAAGCAGCAGGACTAGAACCTCCTAGAGCTTCCAACCCACACGAAGTTAGAGCACTGGCATCAACACTAGCTCTACATGGAAATTGCTCTATACCGACAATAATGGAGGGCTGCTTCTGGAAGTCGGACACGGTGTTTGCCAACCACTACCTCCGAGACATAGCCACTGAAGATGTCTAAGGCATTCACCAATTTGGGCCTCTCGTTGTAGCACAGCAACTAACGGTTCCTCAAAGGCTCTGAGTTGAAATCTCACCCTTTATCACGTTGACTTGTAGATGACTTTTACTAGGAAAAATATTAGTTTGAAAGTCCATGCATACAGTCTAGGACAGACTAGCATGAGTGATTAAGATCCTGTGCGGGTAATAACCTTACCTGCACATAAAGGGATCGCAACTCATTTATGATAAAGACCTTATCATAATCCATGGGTTGTTATACGATATCTAGTACAGGAGAATACTAGTTTATCTATAACCACACGAATCAACATGATTCAACTTGTCTGAGATTGAAGTAAGACAAGGAATGGTCCCCCCGAGTTACTACGCAAGTTGGAAGAATAGGACCACGGAAATGCCGTTTGCAGTTCCCATGGGGGGGATACAGGACGTATCTAAGGACAGCTGTTGAATCCAGTTGCTTGACCCACCACCTATTCCGACGGATTCTATAAGCAAAGATCATGAGTCAGGATAAGGAAAAATATGTAATTTTATAAGTAACATTGATCTTTTATACTTATCCTGACTCATGACGAACAAGCCCTCCCAGCCTCCCCATTGAAGACACTTGAGATTTCACAGCAGATCCAAGTGCATGGGCAGAAAATCAGGAGAGAGTGACAAGTAAGGCGCGTCACATGACTGGTTTGCACGGGAAACGGCAAAGGGAGGTAACTCGTGGGTGAGTATTGTACGTCCACTTCGGGAACTTCAAGGGATTCAAGTGTTCCACTACCATTCGAAAGGGAAAGGGAGATAAGCAAAGATCATGAGTCAGGATAAGTATAAAATATCAATTTTACTTAAAAAATTACATTTATTTTCAAATTGAAAGGTTCAAACTGTGTTGTTGAGTGAGGTTAATTTGTGACGTTTTTTCATTCTTTTATAAAATATGCATTTTGCAAAAGTGAGCTTGGAGACACACCATGCACCATTGCCCAGCGACCACCAAGGTTAGAATGTGTCCTCAGTACTATGTATGCCATTCTTCCAACAAGCGAGTGAGTGAGTGAGTTTAGATCTTCACGGATATCAAACAAGCAAGCAATCAGTGTGTTGCTTGATGTGTTAATTCATTTGGCTTTTTTTGTAATACTCAGTCTGAAGAGGAATATATTACTCGAAGATGGGCCAGTGTTTACCTGGCTGGGGAACGACTCAAGCGTACATACCACCGGGAGACCTTCACCCTGGGGGAATATGAACCAGACTTTATCCGGTACATGCGGAGCCGCTCTGTGCAGCTGAATGACTGTCTCCTTGTGGACCAGGTGAACTGATTTCCTGCAGCCTGTCAATTTGAGAAGTAGATTGTGGTCAGGCTCTAAACTCTTCGAGTTTTATCAAACTAATCCTGTATTTGTGTTTTCTACTGAATTAATCTGATGACCATTTGTTTGTTGGGACATGATTGGCCCAGTTGTCTGTGGAATAACAAGAGTACCAGATGGCCATTTGTTTGTTGGGCCATTGGTTTGTTGGGAATAACATGATTGGTTTGTTTGGGACATGATTGGCCCAGTTGTCTGTGGAATAACAAGAGTACCTGATGGCCATTTGTTTGTTGGGACATGATTGGCCCAGTTGTCTGTGGAATAACAAGAGTACCTGATGGCCATTGGTTTGTTGGGACATGATTGGTTGACTGTGGAATGATTGGTTGGTTTGTGGAGTGATGATTGGTCCAGTTGTCTGTGGAATAACAAGAGTACCTGATGGCCATTTGTTTGTTGGGACATGATTGGCCCAGTTGTCTGTGGAATAACAAGAGTACCTGATGGCCATTTGTTTGTGGAGTGATGATTGGTCCAGTTGTCTGTGGAATAACAAGAGTACCTGATGGCCATTGGTTTGTGGAGTGATGATTGGTCCAGTTGTCTGTGGAATAACAAGAGTACCTGATGGCCATTGGTTTGTGGAGTGATGATTGGTCCAGTTGTCTGTGGAATAACAAGAGTACCTGATGGCCATTGGTTTGTGGGAGTGATGATTGGTCCAGTTGTCTGTGGAATAACAAGAGTACCTGATGGCCATTGGTTTGTGGAGTGATGATTGGTCCAGTTGTCTGTGGAATAACAAGAGTATCTGATGGCCATTGGTTTGTGGAGTGATGATTGGTCCAGTTGTCTGTGGAATAACAAGAGTATCCATTGATGGGAGTGATGATTGGTTTGTGTGGAGAGTATCTGATGGCCATTGGTCCAGTTGTCTGTGGAATAACAAGAGTACCTGATGGCCATTTGTTTGTGGAGTGATGATTGGTTTGTGGAGTGATGTTGTCTGTGGAATAACAAGAGTATTGGTGATGGCCATTGGTTTGTGGAGTGATGATTGGTCCAGTTGTCTGTGGAATAACAAGAGTATCTGATGGCCATTGGTTTGTGGAGTGATGATTGGTCCAGTTGTCTGTGGAATAACAAGAGTATCTGATGGCCATTGGTTTGTGGAGTGATGATTGGTCCAGTTGTCTGTGGAATAACAAGAGTATCTGATGGCCATTGGTTTGTGGAGTGATGATTGGTCCAGTTGTCTGTGGAATAACAAGAGTATCTGATGGTCATTGGTTTGTGGTTGTCTGTGGAGTGATGATTGGTCCAGTTGTCTGTGGAATAACAAGAGTACCTGATGGCCATTGGTTTGTGGAGTGATGATTGGTCCAGTTGTCTGTGGAATAACAAGAGTACCTGATGGCCATTGGTTTGTGGAGTGATGATTGGTCCAGTTGTCTGTGGAATAACAAGAGTACCTGATGGCCATTGGTTTGTGGAGTGATGATTGGTCCAGTTGTCTGTGGAATAACAAGAGTATCTGATGGCCATTGGTTTGTGGAGTGATGATTGGTCCAGTTGTCTGTGGAATAACAAGAGTACCTGATGGCCATTGGTTTGTGGAGTGATGATTGGTCCAGTTGTCTGTGGAATAACAAGAGTACCTGATGGCCATTGGTTTGTGGAGTGATGATTGGTCCAGTTGTCTGTGGAATAACAAGAGTATCTGATGGTCATTGGTTTGTGGAGTGATGATTGGTCCAGTTGTCTGTGGAATAACAAGAGTATCTGATGGCCATTGGTTTGTGGAGTGATGATTGGTCCAGTTGTCTGTGGAATAACAAGAGTATCTGATGGCCATTGGTTTGTGGAGTGATGATTGGTCCAGTTGTCTGTGGAATAACAAGAGTATCTGATGGCCATTGGTTTGTGGAGTGATGATTGGTCCAGTTGTCTGTGGAATAACAAAAGTATCTGATGGCCATTGGTTTGTGGAGTGATGATTGGTCCAGTTGTCTGTGGAATAACAAAAGTATCTGATGGCCATTGGTTTGTGGAGTGATGATTGGTCCAGTTGTCTGTGGAATAACAAAAGTATCTGATGGCCATTGGTTTGTGGAGTGATGATTGGTCCAGTTGTCTGTGGAATAACAAAGAGTATCTGATGGCCAGTTGTGGATGATGATGGTCCATTGGTTTGTGGAGTGATGATTGGTCCAGTTGTCTGTGGAATAACAAGAGTATCTGATGGCCATTGGTTTGTGGAGTGATGATTGGTCCAGTTGTCTGTGGAATAACAAGAGTACCTGATGGCCATTGGTTTGTGGAGTGATGATTGGTCCAGTTGTCTGTGGAATAACAAGAGTATCTGATGGCCATTGGTTTGTGGAGTGATGATTGGTCCAGTTGTCTGTGGAATAACAAGAGTATCTGATGGCCATTGAGTGATGATTGGTCCATTGGTTTGTGGAGTGATGATTGGTCCAGTTGTCTGTGGAATAACAAGAGTATCTGATGGCCATTGGTTTGTGGAGTGATGATTGGTCCAGTTGTCTGTGGAATAACAAGAGTATCTGATGGTCATTGGTTTGTGGAGTGATGATTGGTCCAGTTGTCTGTGGAATAACAAGAGTACCTGATGGCCATTGGTTTGTGGAGTGATGATTGGTCCAGTTGTCTGTGGAATAACAAGAGTATCTGATGGCCATTGGGTTGTGGAGTGATGATTGGTCCAGTTGTCTGTGGAATAACAAGAGTACCTGATGGCCATTGGTTTGTGGAGTGATGATTGGTCCAGTTGTCTGTGGAATAACAAGAGTATCTGATGGCCATTGGTTTGTGGAGTGATGATTGGTCCAGTTGTCTGTGGAATAACAAGAGTATCTGATGGCCATTGGTTTGTGGAGTGATGATTGGTCCAGTTGTCTGTGGAATAACAAGAGTATCTGATGGCCATTGGTTTGTGGAGTGATGATTGGTCCAGTTGTCTGTGGAATAACAAGAGTATCTGATAGCCATTGGTTTGTGGAGTGATGATTGGTCCAGTTGTCTGTGGAATAACAAAAGTATCTGATGGCCATTGGTTTGTGGAGAGATGATTGATTGGTCAGTTGTCTGTGGAATAACAAGAGTATCTGATGGTCATTTGGTCCAGTTGTGTGGAATAACAAGATGATTGTGTCAAGTTGTCTGTGGAATAACAAGAGTACCTGATGGTCATTGGTTTGTGGAGTGATGATTGGTCCAGTTGTCTGTGGAATAACAAAAGTATCTGATGGCCATTGGTTTGTGGAGTGATTGGTCCAGTTGTCTGTGGAATAACAAGAGTACCATGGTTGTCTTGTGGAATAAGTTGTCAAGTGGAATAACAAGAGTGATGGCCATTGGTTTGTGGAGTGATGATTGGTCCAGTTGTCTGTGGAATAACAAGAGTGCGTGATGGCCAGTTGTCTGTGGAATAACAAGAGTACCTGATGGCCATTGGTTTGTGGAGTGACGATTGGTCCAGTTGTCTGTGGAATAACAAGAGTATCTGATGGCCATTGGTTTGTGGAGTGACAATTGGTCCAATTGTTTTTGATGCATGAATCACTCGAGAGTAAACAACTGAGGCCAGCATCCTCCCACATGAAGCTGATTCACTCACTCACTCTTTTCCCCCAGGTGATGCATCCACACCTCACAGCCGACCACCTGGTGTCTGTGTTGAAGAGCCATCTCTTTAACAATTTAGTCAAGGTAGGTGACATGTGGTCTGAGTTGGTCTCTCCTTTCTGTGCCCTTTCGAAGTCGACTCGTCTTTCTTCAAAGAAGGTCTCGAACACAATGAGTACATGTTCAAGGTAGGTCTCAAACACAACTTGATGAAGGGTAGGTCTCATTCCCAACCTAATCAAGATAGGTAGGTGTAGTACCAACTGGTGTTTAAAGTAACATATCCGTTGACAAATGCCAGTTGAGTAACTCTTACAGATATAACCCGTGACCCATCGGTTATTCTTCATTTCAGTAGTAGCACCTCCATCTTTGTTTCACTTGTTACTTATCAACCATGAATATAATTTGATTGAAATAAATTGCATCATAAATCAGCTTCAAAACGAACAACATAAACAGTCCTACCTAGCTTGAACAGAAGAATGGAGGTAAAATACCCTAGATAATGGGAATGCTGAATCAGCAAATTAGACACTGGTTAATCAGAGCTGTGGATTTCATTCTGTTGAACTTTGTTGCAGATCGGAAGGGGTACTTCCAACAGACCATAGGGATCGGGCAGGGGTCTGTCCTGTCCACCATGTTGTGTAGCTTGTATACTGCCCATCTGGAGCAGTTCACGCTCAGCAACACCCAGAAGGACGAGCTGTTGATGCGACTTGTTGATGATAATCTTTTCATCACCCCCTACAGGGACAAGGCTGTGCACTTCCTCAGTACAGCTCTACAGGGTAATAAAACACCATACCATGCTTCATATATTGCTCTAAAGAGTATGCACACATCACTTGATGTCTTGAAACAGCACTTCAGGGTGGGCATACGTCAGTGTATTGTTTGTTCAACTGCTGTACAGGTTACGCATACATCACTCCATACCTCAGTACCACACTGTAGATTAAGCATAATTCACACTAGTTCAGTATTGCCAATAGGAATAAATCATGCCATGTTTTAAAGGCACAATATCACGCTTTTCGACAATATTTGGGTCTATAGTATATATATATATTTTTGGGGCATGTGCACTAGTGGCTTCCTATCCTTACAATAAAAGGTCGTGGGTTCGATCCCGACCGCGTCATACCAAAAGACGTTAAAATATGGTACTTGTTGGTACCTGCCTGGCGCTCGGCATTAATGGGTACAACAAGGACTGGTCGGCTCGGAGTCAGTATAATGTGTCTGAGTGGGGTATTCATGCCTCACTGCGGCATGGTATCTCAGTGGGCTAGCACTATAAAACCAGCTTCAGTCTGGGCTAGTACAAGCAGCCGCACATACACATACACGCGTTGCATTAATTCATTCGAACTTTTCAATTTCATATTGTAATCTTAATACATCATTTTATTCAGAATGAATTATATGGTAGCTTTGCTGGGGGCTGATAGTTAGTATTAATGAGAGAAAGGCAATATGGATTTTCAGAGAAGTGTGGCATGATAGTGTGCCTTTAACACTGTCCTAAAATAAATGGACAAAACAGTTCAGCTCAACTATTTACGTTTGCTGCTGTACATTTCAGGCAACAAGGAGTACAACTTTACTTCCAACATGGACAAGGTCCTTGTCAGCTTTGAGTTGATCCATCCAGAGCAAGGTCTAGTTCCTTCTGTAGACAGTGACGGTAGGTGACCCATTGGACATTGACGTGTCCATCCAGAGCAATGTCTAGATCCTTCTGTAGACAGTGACGGTAGGTGACCCATTGAACATTGAGGTGTCCATCCAGAGCAATGTCTAGTTCCTTCTGTAGACAGTGACGGTAGGTGACCCATTGGTCTAGATCCTTCTGTAGACAGTGACGGTAGGTGACCTATTGGTCTAGATCCTTCTGTAGACATTGACGGTAGGTGACCTATTGGTCTAGATCCTTCTGTGACAGTCCATTGGTCTAGTTCCTTCTGTAGACAGTGACGGTAGGTGACCTATTGGTCTAGATCCTTCTGTAGACAGTGACGGTAGGTGACCCATTGGTCTAGTTCCTTCTGTAGACAGTGACGGTAGGTGACCTATTGAACATTGAGGTGTCCATCCAGAGCAATGTCTAGTTCCTTCTGTAGACAGTGACGGTAGGTGACCCATTGGTCTAGATCCTTCTGTAGACAGTGACGGTAGGTGACCTATTGGTCTAGTTCCTTCTGTAGACAGTGAGGGTAGATGACCTATTGAACATTGAGGTGTCCATCCAGAGCAATGTCTAGTTCCTTCTGTAGACAGTGAGGGTAGATGACCTATTGAACATTGAGGTGTCCATCCAGAGCAATGTCTAGTTCCTTCTGTAGACAGTGAGGGTAGGTGACCTATTGAACATTGAGGTGTCCATCCAGAGCAATGTCTAGTTCCTTCTGTAGACAGTGAGGGTAGGTGACCTATTGAACATTGAGGTGTCCATCCAGAGCAATGTCTAGTTCCTTCTGTAGACAGTGAGGGTAGCTGACCTATTGAACATTGAGGTGTCCATCCAGAGCAATGTCTAGTTCCTTCTGTAGACAGTGAGGAGGGTAGGTGACCTTTTGGTCTAGATCCTTCTGTAGACAGTGAGGGTAGGTGACCTTTTGGTCTAGTTCCTTCTGTAGACAGTGACAGTAGTTGACCTTTTGGTCTAGTTCCTTCTGTAGACAGTGACGGTAGTTGACCTTTTGGTCTAGTTCCTTCTGTAGACAGTGACGGTAGTTGACCTGTTTGTCTAGTTCCATCTGTAGACAGTGAGGGTGGATCGCCTTCTGCATGTTGAGGTGAAGTTTGCAGTGTTTTGCTCATCAGTTCTTTCCAATTTGATGCCTCAAATACACAACCAGTGGAGGACAAAATAATGTTATTTTTTCTTATCCTGACTCATGATCTTTTGCTTATCTCCCTTTCCCTTGCGAATGGTAGTGGAACACTTGAATCCCTTGAAGTTCCCGAAGCGGACGTAAAAATACACTCACCCACGAGTTACCTCCCTTTCCCACGTAAACAGTCATTTGACCAGCCTAACTTGTCACTCTCTCCCTTTTCGCCCAATTGGATGGTTGGGCGAGCACTGGAGTCCCATATACGGCATTATATCCTTTTTATTTAGGTCCTATTCTTCAAAATTACGCTGTGTATGGATTTGGCAATAACTACTATGTATTATATGTAAAAAATGTGTAAAAAGTATTTGTATTTGTGTCATAATTTCATCTTTATGTAACTTTGTTTACATTTCATGAAATCTTGCAGTGTTTGCAGGCATAGGTTATCTGTGGCTGATCCTCACCCCCAATGCCCTTCGTGCATAAAACTACGCGGTAAATCTATGCGGCCTAGGAAGTCAACGCATTAGAAATCTTTCAACGAAGAGATATTACCTCCGCATGAAGTAGACATTTTGATGACCCCCTGTTACTTCTACCCGAAGAACCTACGAGATCGGCGACTCAATCGACTTCCACGACTACTAGATCGTCTCCTGCAACGGTCACAGCAGGCCACCACCAACTTGACGAACTACCACCTACCTCTCAACGCAGTGAAGTCGAGGCACACAACTCATCAGCGTTCGCGAACGTTTCTTCTACACCGCAGCAGCTTCAATCAACGCAGACTTGATCCGGGTGAAATTATGGGACAATTCACCAACCAGATGATGGCCATGATGGAACGTAGGTTCGAGGAAGAAGCGAAGGCTCGGCGAAGGCTCTGCGAAGCCTCTCATCTACTGACATCGTGCGCAAACCTACGGACCTGCGCGAACCAACTCCTCATAGAACTACGTCTCAAGACTACGTTGGCGAACGTACATCTTTGCGAAGGTCTCTACAGTCTGACGACTCTGTCATCTTGGAGGAGGATTAAAGACATGAGAAGCCTACTCACCGTTCTACATCTGCGAACCCTCAACGTTCGAGAACATTGAAGGATCCATCTCCTACACCTAGCCGTTCTAGATCGAGATCTCATATCTCTCACAGACGTTTGCGTAGTCATTCATCTCTTCGCGAAGAGTAGGCTCACGTCACAGAGGTTTGCGAAGAGATGAATCCACAGACAGAGATTCGCGAAGAGAGGACTCTCAAGATAGACATTCGCGAAGGGAGGAATCTTCAGTTCGCGAAAGGATGATGGAGGTTCGAGAAGGGATACAGGTTCGCAGAAGGATGATTCAGCGGAGGCATAGCTCTACCGATCAGAAGATAACTGATGAATAACCAGACTTCGTCTTCCCGGAATCAGAGGTTACAGATTGGATAGCCAATGGTTTGAACTTGGAGTCTCCTTCTAAGGATATAGATGAAGTCTACACTTATAACATGCATTATGATGACTTTGACTCGGTGACTATTCCTCCGATTGAACCTATATCCAAGGTGCCTTCTAACCTACACACAGCTTTGAGAAAGCTGCAGACATCTACAAGATTCGAGAACTCTCAGATATACAGGCAGATAACAGCAACGCAGACATCTACAGGGTTCGCGAACCCTAGGGTTAACAAACCCTTACATCAACAGGCAGGATGTTGAGGTCGACTCTATTACCATACAGCTGAATAAAACAAGGCAATGATGAAAACTAAACAAAAAGATCTACAACATGTGCGATCTCTACAGTTTACAGCCTGCACAACTCTACAACCTGCACAAACCTTATACCTGTGTAGGTTCAGTTTCGGACGACAACCTACTTGATGAAAGGAATCCCTTCATCTATACGGATGCTGAGGTCTTATACCGGGTAGCAGATGGCCTGCGGATATTGTAGTTCACTCACTCACTCCAACCCAACAGAGACGTACTGCATATACGCTGATGACTTCGACTCCAAAATGATATCACCTATGAAGCCGATATCTCAAGTACTGGAGAACCTCAAGGTTACCTTTGTAAAGGGCTTAAGGATAACAACGCCTTCAAGAATCCTTGAACGGACATACAGATGATGATATTATTAATACTCGTCACTCAGCGTGGGGATTAGGATTTTATATCCTATCAGCTAGATTCAACATCGGTATTTCTTCAAGCTCCATACAGACATACGTCTCGACAGCCTCCTTCGTCATGCTGGCTTATATTATCCACAATGGGAATACGTGATTTATATCACTGAACAAGATTTTACATTTGGAGCAACCCTTATTCAAGAGGTTTTATATGAGCGGCGTAGAATTACGCGCGCTTTTGGTTCAACCAACTAATTGCATCAGATTTTATGGAGGCCAACTTGCTACAACACCGGTGACGTCATGCTTGGAAGCTGATTGGGCCACGTCAGATGACGCCTCCCACTGACAGAGCAGGCTCCAGGATGTTTACTGACTTGTAAACAAACCCGCAGTACGGGGGATTACTTCATCGACAGCCTTGGAAACAATATACAACTACGGCCTGTTATCATCATGGGAATCTAATAGATGTGTAGCCTTGACAGCAGGATAAACGATGTTTATTTTGGAAGTTGTCGCTGATAAAAGTCGGTATAAGTACCTGTCCCCTGCGATGCTACACTGGAGCCAGCCGTCCTATAAATAGACAATGCTTCGATGTATGCTGATCAACACAGATCGCTGCGTAAATAAGGGGAAGAATGATGTATCATCACTGCAATCAGAGGTTAGCACTTCCAATGGAACGTCCTACCGTTTGGAATATCATCGGCTCTATGATTATTCATACGAATAACCAAGCCTATAGGTACCTATCTGCAGCATCGAGGTCTACGCAGTGCCGGTTATCTGGACGACGGCATGCAGGTTCTTCAAAGTGCCAATCAACTCAGACAGCAGCTGAACTTCACAACTAGGATGGCTAGTGAACCTGATGAAGTTGGAGTTAGAATCAAACAAGATCTTCAATTGCTGGGAATAAGAATTATCACAATCGAATTGTGGTCCCAGAAGATCATTGGGTCAAGATAACAGCCATGATTCCATAAGCAGTCATCTTTCCGTTAACACTACGAACATGGCAATGTCTACTCGGTCTACTAACCTCGGCGCAGGACTTGACTTGCACAGGAAGGTTACAACTAAAGCCGCTGCAACGGTTCCTGACAAAACATCTGGACAGCGTCGACCCTATCTTGCTGCCAGACAATCTTAAGAGGTACCTACTTTGGTGGACCGACAGGTCGAACGTTTGCGGAGGGACCTATTTACAAGAACCGGCCTTTGACACACATCTCTACGTAGACGCATCGATACAAGGTTGGGGTGCACATCTCAACAACCAAGTTGCATCAAGAAAGTGGTCCAAAACAGAGCAACATCTTCACATCAATCTGCTGGAGAGGAAAGCTGTGATCAACGCCTTACAACTATGGTCGAGCTCGCTGATCAACAGAATGCTGATGGTCCACACGGACAACTCTACAGTGGCATTCTCCATAAATCGGCAAGGATCTACAAGATCACCAAGCCTACTACAGCTCACATTCCAGTTGTTTGACATCACGGAGGAGGCAAACATCTCTATAAAGGCGTGTCACATACCCGGAGCCAAGAATGTGCTTGCAGACGCTCTCTCCCGACCACTGCACCCGTCACCTACGGAATGGATGCTCCATCCAGAAGTGTTCCGGCTCATCATAGGGGAAATAGGATCCCCTTGCATAGACCTGTTTGCCACGAGGTTCAACAAGCAACTACAGACGTTTTTCTCACCAGTTCCAGATCCTCAAGCCTGGGCAACAGATGCACTGAACATATCATGGGAAGGACTAAACGCTTATGCGTTTCCACCACTGATATTACTACCGAAAGCACTGTTGAAGATCAAACAGACACAGGCGCTACAACTGACCTTGGTCGCGCCATACTGGCCAGCAAGAGTATGGTTCCTAGACCTAATAGAAGATCTCGGAAGTCCAACAATCAAGTTATCAGATTGGCCGAACCTACTCATACATCCGCACACCAAGCAAGTCCACGGGAACCCAACACTGTTCCAGCTACACGTGTGGACCGTATCAAAACATGTTTGAAGAAAAGAGGATACTCTGCCAGAGCAGCCGAGGCAGGCTAGCGTTACGCAAATCTACTCGTAACTTGTATGATGACAAGTGGCTGAAGTTTGAGACTTATGCCAGGCGGAAAGGCTTCATTGCTATGAAAGCTACTCATCCTCAAGTGGCGGAATACCTGTGTCATCTTAGACAGACTAGACATCTGAAAGGTTTGACATTATCTACATACCTTGCTACCATCAGTACAGTGATTACCATGAAAACAGGCATCAAGTTGACGAAAGTACCAGAATTACTTGCTCTGCTGAGATCTTTTAAACTGGAGGACCAGCAAAAGAAGTTCAGAGCTCCGGCCTGGGATCTGAATGTAATTCTACGTCATCTTACAAGTGATGCCTACGAACCTATAGATGAGACTACCCTCGAGCTGCTGACACAGAAGACTCTGTTCCTGCTTGCGCTAGCCACGGCAGCTCGGATATCAGAGATACATACTCTGGACTTTGGTTGAACTAGATTCGACATGGGGCAACATGCTGCAGTTCATCTAGGACTTAGATGGGACTTCATTGCCAAGAACCAACTACCTGGTCAGCCAGATAGACAGTTCCACGTACCAGCGCTATCTACAATCCTCGGACCAGAGGATATAGAGGACCTATCCTTGTGTCCAGTCAGAGCCCTGAAGATATATCTTCAACAGACTAAGACAAGGAGACGAAAATTCAAGTGCCTGTTCATCCCATTATCCACAGAGACATCAGCAGAAGTCTCAAGAACGACGATATCGTTCTGGATGAGAGCCGTCATATGGAGAGCCTATAAAGCAGCAGGACTAGAACCTCCTAGAGCTTCCAACTCACACGAAGTCAGAGCACTGGCGTAAACATTGGCTCTGCACGGAAATTGCACTATATCAGCATTTATGGAGGGCTGCTTTTGGAAGTCGGATACGGCGTTTTCCAACCACCAACTCCAAGACATAGCCACTGAAGACGTCTCAGGCATTCACCAATTTGGGACTCTCCCTTTATCATGTTGACTTGTCGATAACTTTTACTAAGGAAAAGTATTAGTTTGAAAGTCCATGCACACAGTCTAGGACAGACTAGCATGAGTGATTAAAGATCCTGTACGGGTAAAGATCTTTCCTGTACGTGTAGGGGTTGCAACTCATTTATGATAAAGATCTTATCATAATCTTTGGGTTGTTATAAGATATCTAGTAATAAGAAGATACTAGTTTATCTGAAGCCACATGAATCAAGATGATTCAACTTGTCTGAGATGGAAGTAAGACAAGAAGTGGTCCCCCCCTAGTTATAACGTAAGTTGGAAGAATAGGATCTCGGAAATGCCGCTACGCAGTTCCAATGGGCATGGATACAGGACGTATCTAAAGGACAGCTGATGAATCCAGGAAGAGGCCTTGACACACCACCAATCCATAGGATTCTATAAGCAAAAGATCATGAGTCAGGATAAGAAAAAATATGTAATTTTTCAAGTAAAATTGATATTTTATACTTATCCTGACTCAGGAGGTCAAGCCCTCCCGACCTCCCCGCTGGAAACACTTCGGATTGCACAGCAGATCCAAGTGCTTGGGCAGAAAAATCAGGAGAGAGTGACAAGTAAGGCTGGTCACATGACTGTTTACGCGGGAAAAGGGAGGTAACTCATGGGTGAGTGTATTTTTACGTCCGCTGCGGGAACTTCAAGGGATTCAAGTGTTCCACTACCAGTTGCAAGGGAAAGGGAGATAGCAAAAGATCATGAGTCAGGATAAGTATAAAATATCAATTTTACTTGAAAAATTACTTATTTCTGAATAATGTTTTTTCAGAATTAAAAAATCGGTTTCATTTGAAATGATATTTTAACATCAATAGTTGATTGAATACATATAAGTAATGAAACTCACAAAGTCACCAATAAAGTTTGACCGACTTGTATACAGAGTTTCCTTGGTGTGGGATGCTGTTCAACACACAGACCGTGGAGGTGATGGTGGACTACAACAGATATGCTGGGCAAGGTGGGTTGCCTGCAGATACTACACCCACAGCTTGTTTTGAAGATTTGTCGGATTTGTGTTCTTGCACCCAACTCACTCAATCACTAACTCGACGGAATTTATTTCCAGCCATCCGAGATACGATCACGATAGATTTCTCTGCCCAGCCTGGTGCCTCCATGAAGAACAAGCTGCTAATGTGAGGACAACTAACTGTGTGGTTCAGGCAACAGTACCTTGAAAATATTTACATGTTTCAAATGGATACAGAACATGAGCAAGGACTGACCATCAATAGTCAGGGGAACATGGGATTTTGATCTACACAATATAATTCTGTCACTTTTGTTATCATACCCAAAGTAAGGGAGTTTGCTCATAAGCCAGAGATTACTCCTAGGCCAAATGTAGAGATAACATCATTATCAGGTAATATGACACACCAGGCCTTATCACCCATACTGCATATCCTGATCATGTTGAACATCCAGTGCTTGTCACCGTCCATTGAACCATGTGGTTAATACTCATGAAGTTGGTCTATGAACATGTGGACACTGTTTCAACAGGGGGGTAAACCTTGTTTGTTTTCAGCAACCTGATACATTCTGTGTCTAGTTCGACATTGACAAGAATCTCTTGAGGGTGGGAGATCCTAAAAGATAGGGACTTTTCTAACATTTGGCCTAGGACTAAGATTATGAAACATATTGAGAAAAATCATTTTTTGTTGTACCAAATATAACTTTGAATGCACAAAACACAAAAATGGCTCCTTCAATGTTGATCAGTAAAACAAGTCACCTATAAAGACATGGTATTAGTTCAACACTTGTGATGATGTAGATACATCCATGCAGTGTTATCATGTGTTTACCTGTCCCAGACTCCACCATACATGGGATACTGGGGACTTCAAGTAGGAAACAATGTGTATCAGAGCTCCAGATCAGATTTAGCTCATGTGGGTACTGTACCCACTGTATTTTTGGGTGACCAAGGGTATTATGAATGTTCAGTGGGTATTTCATTTTCATACCCACTGCTTTCAACATAAACGATTTTCAGTCATTTTTTCACCTAAGTATTATGTGACTTAGTAAGTTTACTAAGAAGGTATGTTCTGCCTGAATGTCATTTACCTAATCAAACCAACTTAAATATAATGGAAATGATTGACATAAAAATCACTCATCCTATACTGACAGTACAACACTAGTCCTGATATAACAGTACAACTTGATAGCAATAGATGTCTTTTTCATTACATACATATCTTTATAAATATATTCCCTGGCATTTGTTTTAAACTTTTTATGGATCTAACATTTGAAATGCGTAATGATTGCTTCAATTTTTTCAATGCATAATTTGAAATTTTCTATTGTATTTTCAACCGAATTCCCTTATCTGGGCCTCTGGTGTATTGTGATAACTACAGAAATACTGACGTGTTCTGTCCATTGTCAGGTTCTTGAGGCAAAAGTGTCAGGGGCTGTACATGGATCCGCAGGTGGGTGTTCTGTGGCTGTGCCTCTCTGTGTGTGTGGGTGGGTGGGGGTGCGCTGTGTGGACTGTGTATGCTCATGTGTCTGTGTGGACTCCTGTGTCTGCTGTCAGTCAATATTAGCAGCATCTGGGGTATTGTTTCATGTCAATTTCCAAATTACACGAACTTGATCTAGAAATCTGTTCATAAATGAATTTGGTGTGAAACAAACAAAGGTTTTATAAGTAACAATGATAATCCAAATTAACTACTTTGGGAATCAATACAATTACTGCTATGTCAAAAAGTGGCACTGCAAATAAACTGGAAACAGAATATAACTACATCGAGGGTGAACAGTGATCTTTACGGAATAGCTGGTCCTTTTGTAATTAGAGATGTAAGTGAGATGTAAGAGATGTGAATGAGTGAGTTTGGTTTTATGCCCCTTTTAGAAATGTTCCAGCTATATCACAGCGGGGGGACACCAGAAATGGGTTTCACTCATTGTACCCATGTGGGGAATCAAACCCTGGTCTTCGGCGTGACAAGCAAACGCTTTAACCTAACAAATCCTAACCGTTATCTCACTTTGGTTTCCATAGTTTGTTGTAAGTATCCAAGAACTAACATACCGTAGTGGTTGGTTGACATCTTAGGTCCCATTGTTGTAGCAAAGATTTGTCTGTAATATTCCCCATCAAACTGAAAGGTATTGTACCTGGTAGATCAACAGCGTAACGAGGAGGATCGTCAGCACCTACAGGGTGTTCCTGTTGGCCGCCTACAAGCTGCACTGCTTCATCCTCAACTCTTGGCCAGCCAGACGCCGGAACAACCATCGCTTCCTGATAGGTGAGTCTAGCTGGAGACATGAGGAACTTACAGCAGGTTTCGAGCTCATGCCATCTCGAGGAACACGGGGTAACTGTTCGCAAGTGTATACTTACTTTTGCCTTGCAGAATATAACTGTACAGTTTCATCATTGAGTGAGTGAGTTTTAGTTTTTAGCAATATTCCAGCAATATCACGTCAGGGGACACCAGAAATGGCTTCACACATGCAGACAGTACTAGGGTACCTACAATGTGTGAAACCCTGTATTGGTCGCGTGTCCACGGAGAGTATCTGGAATAGTGTTAAACTTGCTGAGTGAGTGAGTATGGTTTTACGCCGCTTTGAGCAATATTCCAGCAATATCACGGCGGGGACACCAGAAATGGGCTTCGCACATTGTACACATGTGGGGAATCGAACCCAGATCTTCAGCATGACGGGCGAACGCTTTAACCACTAGGCTACCCCATCACCACTGGATGGCTCTAGAAGATTAAAGAAAATTAGATAAGCATAGACAAATGACATGCTGTGTATTTGTAGGTGCCACAGTCATGTTAGATATATTGGCACCTTAGTACCAAAGTGTTCAGCTGCAATAATTCTTCACATCAAACACTGCAGCTCGACCTAAATCTAATATTTCAGCACTTTTGTTTCAGAAGTCATCCTCAACCTTGCCAGCTACCTTCATTTCAAGGTCAAGGCCAATGTGACGGTTTGTTTCACAATGAGTGCATATTCTTGATAAGATGTTTTGGTCCATTATGGTTTGCTTTCCGGATGAGCCCAGCCGAAATTCCAATAATAGAAAGTATTTTTCATCAGGCACTGGTCTCATGCCTCAAATGATTACAAGTTTGTCATAGATACAGTGTGTATCCCAAAGCGTGCCAAATTCGAGGTTCAAGTGTTTTCGACGATTCAATTGCTTGCGCTACATCAAGGGAGTATGTGCGCGATCAGAGTGCACAAGCAGTTTCATCGGTAGGGCAGGTGCCCAGTCGCTGTCGTGAGAAGTTTTATTGACAATGGAAATCAGGAAGTTAAGATATATAAAAATCAAACAAACATCAATATTATTATCCTGAGATGCATCACTTCAGATGCAAAATCAACTGCCTATATATATAACACAACATAGCAAGCGAAATTTCAGTAAGATCCGTCGTCTGTTAGTGACAGGCAGTATATAAAATAGGAAGCCACGTGATCACAACACTCCTTCGCAGTGCGGAGTGAAAAGTATGGCTCATCATCGAAAACCCATACAAAATCGCCGATACGATGTCATGAATGCTATTTTTGTAGGGAACACTTGATATTTTTGCGTGAAATAGATGAATATATCCTTTATCACTCATGCTTAGTGAAATAAAAACTTGAAGTGAAATTAAGATACAAAATACGTTTTTGTCTTACATCGTCGAAAACCCCTGACACCGGGATACTGTATAAGGAGAATGTTAAGAGTGAACCCTTAGCTGGGAATGATGTCCCTGAGTGCAGACAAGCTCCTGGACATTCATTGCTCTGAGACAGCCCACAAAGATGGATTCTAGGAGTGAAGATATATAACCTCTTTCTTCAGTCAGAAAAAAACATTGTATTTTGATTAGATGTCTATTCTTAGCATCATGTCATTGAAACCAGGATCAAAACAATTCAAGGAGAACAGAGGTTTTATACACTGGAGTATTAAGAAAGCTTATACATTGTATTCCTTTATGTTGATATAAATTCATGGAGAAAACTGTGAAAGTTGAAACTGCTGTAGGAAGAAAGAAATGTACTCCAAACATACTTTCATCCTGGACCCGATGTGTATGTTCCAGCAAGCCACAGACAAGGATGGGGGCACATCGCTGTTACCATTGCCTCTTGTGAAGTGGTAAGAAAACAAACAAGTATTGAAAATAGGTGACAGATGAATTTGATTTCTGGACAGTGTATGGTGTGTGAATGGCTATCATCCAAAACTGTTCCGCAGGAGATGTGGCCTGAGTTAGATTAGGACCCCAGAAAACCATGACAGCAAAAATGGTTAGGTGATCCGATTTGGTAGCTGGAATATTGCTGAGTGGGTTTAAACAGCAAACTGATGACTTGTGTGATCTTTGCGAGGCGCCAGATTAGAACTGGTATAAGCATCCCATGCATGTCAGTAGAGGTGGCAATGGTTGTCACTAGTGGTGGTCCGATTAATTGAAATAATCGAAGATTGGTCCCACTGGCTAAATGACCAAGCAATCGATCCTGTTTTCTAATAATCGAACACAAACAATTCTGGAACACGTTTTCATTAACAGTATTAATTTTTCCTTATCCTGACTCATGATCTTTGCTTATCTCCCTTTCCCTTTCGAATGGTAGTGGAATACTTGAATCCCTTGAAGTTCCCGAAGCGGACATACAATACTCATCACCCACGAGTTACCTGCCTTCCTCTTTCCCGTGCAAACGTACCATGTGACGTGCCCAGACTTGTCACTCTCTCCCTTTTCGCCCAAGCAGATGGTTGGGCGAGCACTGGAGTCCCGTATACGGCAATTTTTTTGTTTATATTAAGGCCTATTCTTCTAAATTAAGCTGTGTATGGTTTTGATTATAATTACGATGTAGTATTTGTAGAAATTTGTTGACTTTGAGTCGTGTTTTCATCGTGTTGTAACTTTGTTTACAATTCATTAAATCTTGCTGTGTGTGTAAGCACAGGTTGTCTCTGGCTGATCCTCACCCCCAATGTCCATTGTGTACAGATCCATGTTCATCCACCTTGCGTTGTATCTACTGTATTGATTTAGCTGACTTACAATTTAATCAATATCTGTCTTATGTTTATAGACGTGCCATGGATCGGGTGAAAAAGACATCTCTAGTCACATGTGATAAATCTGGAGATCAGCCTAAAAACCGTATGTTGCTCGCTGCTGATGTTCATAATAGTGATGTGTTGCCTAGTACATTACAGGGCCAGTCTGCGGCAAAGGGGGCTAAAAAAGGTCGTCAACCTCGCAACCTACGCAGTCCCAGTCTAAGAAGACGGTGTCCTCTTCTACTATGCAGAGAAAGTCTACGAGTACTAGATCTGAGGGCAAATCTACACGTGCTATTGCTGCTACGCAGAGATCTTTCAACGATGAGATCGTACCGCCTCATGAGAAAGACGTGTTTGACGACCCCCCTATACTACTACCTGAGGTATCGATGACATCCACGACGCAGTCGATGTCAACTACTATGAGATCATCACCTATGAATGTCACAGCAGGCCAGCTGTCGGACATACGACCTCTTCCTTCGAGGACAGAAGTTGAGGCACAGAAAACAGCATCGCAGCCGATTCAACAGATGCAGAACTTCGACCCGGGGGAGTTCATGACGCAGTTTACCAACAAGATGATGGAGCAGAGATTCCAGCAAGAATCAAGGAAGACCCTACAGTCTACCGACACCGTACTGGCCTGCGCGAATCTACACCCATCAGAGCTACACCTGCAGTTGATGTTGGCGAACGCACTCCTCCGTGAAGGGCTCCACAACCCGACGACTCCGTCATCCTACGAGATAGTCAAGATGATACGCAAAAGAAGGATCAGTTCTTCCTATCGGATCACCTCGCATCGATTTCGACGGCAATCACCTTAATACGCAGACAGGGTCTACTGGTGTCCTGCTCCTGGAATGACAGATTTACGCAGCCACTACTACGAGCTCCCGTGGGAGGCGCCTACCATCTTTGGAGGTCTATTGGATGATGCAGCTAAACAAGCTACACAAGAATCCAGAGAGGTGATGATGATCAAGACCATAGACACCTTGGCCAACGTCATCCGCCATACATCCCAGAGATACAACAACAAGTCTAAGTTTGCTGGGATACAGAGAGCTAAAGACAAAAAGTACTCCAGCTCCAGAGGCGGGAAGGACTCTTTTCGTCGCCCTTCAGGCAACTACAGAGGAAACTCTGGAAGAGGCCGCGGCCCCAGAGCTTCCAGAGGTACCAGACGTTGATGCCAGAGTTCGGAGTCTTCCACCCCCCAGCCGTTCCTGTAAAACTGTCGACAGTGGGTGGACGTCTATAAGGGTACTGGAAAAATTGGGGAATTTTAGAAGAGGACTACGTCTCTCAGGTACTAAGAGAAGGGTACAAAGTACAACTGAAAGATGCTCCTCCGTTAACCCTCAGCCCGAAGGTCTTCAAGTATGCAGAGGAACAGTCAGACAGATTACAAGAAGCCATCAACGCACTTCTCTCAAAAGATGCAGTAGAGATAATAGACCAGAATCATCTCACCCCAGGCTTCTCATAATTCCCCAATTTTTCTAGTACCAAAGAAGAACTCCGCAGAGAAGTTCAGACTGATTTACAACATGCTCAAATTCAACAGAGACTACCTACTGAAACCAGACAGGTTCAGCATGATCCACCTACCTCAATTGAAACAACTCGTCCGTCCAGCAGATTACATGGCCAGCATAGACTTACAGGATGCGTACCTGCACATCCCGATACATCAAGAATCAAGAAAATATCTACGATTCCTGTTCAGAGGGCAACACTACCAATGGAGCGTGCTACTGTTTGGAATATCTTCGGCCCCATGGCTATTCACACGAATAACCAAGCCTATAGTCGCATACCTTCATCAACGAGGTCTACGCAATGCCTTTTACCTGGACGACGGGATTCAGATCCACCAAGATGCAAGTCTACTCAGAGTACAACTGAACTTCACGATCAAGTTGCTCACTCAACTGGGATGGTTTGTGAACCTAAGGAAGTCAGAATTGGAACCAAAACAAGATCTACAATTCCTGGGGATAAGATTCATCACTGCAAAGAATCGAATTGTCATCCCAGAGGATCGCTGGGTCAAGATACAAGCCATGATTCCGCCAGCAGTCACCTCTCTGTTAACACTACGATCATGGCAAGTTCTACTCAGTCTACTAACCTCGGCGCAAGACTTGACGCACATAGGAAGGTTACAGCTAAGACCGCTACAACGGTTCCTCATAAAGCATCTGGACAGTGTTGACCCTATCCTGCTGCCCGAAAACCTCAAGAGGTATCTACTATGGTGGACACACAGGTCGAATGTGTGCGAAGGAGTCTATTTACAAGAGCCGGCCTTCGAGACACACCTCTACGCGGATGCCTCGTTGCAAGGATGGGGGGCACATCTCAATGATCAAGTAGCGTCGGGAAAGTGGTCCCATACAGAACAAAAGCTCCACATCAATCTACTAGAGATGAAAGCAGTGATCAATGCCATACAACTATGGTCGAGCTTGCTGAACAACAAGATGTTGATGATCCACACAGACAACTCCACAGTGGGGTTCTCCATAAATCGGCAAGGATCCACAAGATCTCCAAGCCTTTTGCAGCTCACATTCCAGTTGTTCCAGATCACGCAGAAAGCAGACATCTGGATAAAGGCGTGTCATATACCCGGAGCCAAGAACGTACTAGCAGATGCTCTCTCAAGACCACTACGCCCGTCACCAACGGAATGGATGCTCCATCCAGAAGCGTTTCGGAACATAAGGGAAATAGGATTCCCCTCCATAGACCTGTTCGCCCCGAGGTTCAACAAACAACTGCAGACGTTCGTCTCACCAGTTCCAGATCCTCAAGCCTGGGCAACAGATGCACTGAGCATATCGTGGGAAGGACTAAACGGCTATGCTTTTCCACCCCTGATAATACTGCCAAAAGTACTGATCAAGATCAAACAGACACAGACGCTACAACTGACTTTGGTCGCGCCTTACTGGCCAGCGAGAGCATGGTTTCCAGATCTACTAGAAAACCTAGGAAGTCCAGTATTCAAGCTTCCAGATTGGCCGAACCTACTGATACATCCGCACACCAAGCAAGTCCACAAGAACCCAGCAGTGTTCCGGTTACACTTGTGGACCATATCAAAATGTGTTTGAAGAAAAGAGGATACTCCACCAGAGCAGCCAAAGCAGTAGCACTAGCGTTACGCGGATCGACTCGCAACCTATATGACGATAAATGGCTGAAGTTTGAAACTTACGCAAGGCAGAAAGGCTTCACAGCGATAATAGCTACACATCCTCAAGTGGCGGAATATCTATGTCATCTGAGACAGACCAGACATCTAAAGGGTTCGACGCTATCGACTTACCTCGCTGCTATCAGTACTGTGATTACCATGAAAACAGGCATCAAGTTGACGAAAGTACCAGAATTACTTGCTCTACTGAGATCATTCAAGTTGGAAGACCAACAAAAGAAATTCAGAGCTCCAGCCTGGGACCTGAATGTAATTCTGCGTCATCTTACCAGTGATGTCTACGAACCACTAGACCAGATCACGATCGAGCTACTAACACAGAAGACGCTGTTCCTGCTAGCGTTAGCCACTGCAGCTGGCATATCGGAGATACATGCGCTGGACATTCGACAGAGGGCAAAATAATAGAGTTCATCTAGGACTTAGATGGGACTTTATTGCCAAGAATCAACTACCTGGTCAACCAGATAGACAATTCCACGTACCAGCGCTGTCTACAGTCCTCGGCCCACAAGATATAGAGGACTTATCCTTGTGCCCAGTCAGAGCTTTGAAGATATATCTTCAAAAGACTAAGACGAGGAGAAGGAAATTCAAGCGCCTATTCATCCCATTATCAACTGAGACATCAACTGAAGTCTCAAGAACGACCATATCATTCTGGATGAGAGCCATCATATTGAGAGCCTACAAAGCAGCAGGACTAGAACCTCCTAGAGCTTCCAACCCACACGGTTAGAGCACTGGCCAACACTAGCTCTACATGGAAATTGCTCTATACCGACAATAATGGAGGGCTGCTTCTGGAAGTCGGACACGGTGTTTGCCAACCACTACCTCCGAGACATAGCCACTGAAGACGTCTCAGGCATTCACCAATTTGGGCCTCTCGTTGTAGCACAGCAACTAACGGTTCCTCAAAGGCTCTGAGTTGGAATCTCACCCTTTATCACGTTGACTTGTAGATGACTTTTACTAGGAAAAGTATTAGTTTGAAAGTCCATGCGCACAGTCTAGGACAGACTAGCATGAGTGATTAAGATCCTGTGCGGGTAATGACCTTACCTGCACATAAAGGGATCGCAACTCATTTATGATAAAGACCTTATCATAATCCATGGGTTGTTATAAGATATCTAGTACAGGAGAATACTAGTTTATCTATAACCACATGAATCAACATGATTCAACTTGTCTGAGATTGAAGTAAGACAAGGAGGTAAGACAAGGAGTGGTCCCCACGAGTTAGTACGCAAGTTGGAAGAATAGGACCACGGAAATGCCGTTTGCAGTTCCCATGGGGGGGATACAGGACGTATCTAAGGACAGCTGTTGAATCCAGTGGCTTGACCCACCACCAACTCTGACGGATTCTATAAGCAAAGATCATGAGTCAGGATAAGGAAAAATATGTAATTTTTAAAGTAAAATTGATATTTTATACTTATCCTGACTCATGATGAACAAGCCCTCCCAACCTCCCCATTGAAGACACTTGCGATTTCACAGCAGATCCAAGTGCATGGGCAAAAAATAGGAGAGAGTGACAAGTCTGGGCACGTCACATGGTACGTTTGCGCGGGAAAGAGGAAGGGAGGTAACTCATGGGTGAGTATTGTACGTCCGCTTCGGGAACTTCAAGGGATTCAAGTGTTCCACTACCATTCGAAAGGGAAAGGGAGATAAGCAAAGATCATGAGTCAGGATAAGTATAAAATATCAATTTTACTTAAAAAATTACATTTCACAAGGTTGGTTTTGTCTGTTACATTTCATAAGCACTACAAGCTTGTTCCAAGTCATGATTGAAGTTATCTTAAAGACTCTAAGAAATTTATGTTCCTAACATACTAGTCATCCTTTATAGATATGAAATTTTGCCCAAAAACACCCCCAAAGAACTACATGTTTTTTTCCCTTATTTTTCTGTGCATTAACAAATTTCATAAATGATGCTAACCAATTATTTTCGATGATTGATCAGTTGTAATGAATCAATCGTCAATTATGAGATTTTAACCAATTCCCAACACTAGTTGTCACCAGATTCTACTAATTGGGTCGGGTGGTCAGGCTTTCTGACTTTGGGAGCGGTGGGGTAGCCTAGTGATTGGCGCTGGCTCGTCACGCCGAAGACCTGGGTTCGAATCCCCACATGGGTACAATGTGTGAAGCCCATTTCTGGTGTCCCCCGACGTGATGCTGCTGGAATATTGCTAAAATCGGCGTAAAACCAAACTCAGTCAGTCAGTCAGTTTCTACCAACATAACTTTCAGTTGTCTCGTCTCGGTTAATTGGAAGCCTAAGGATATGGATAAAATATTGGTGACTATAGTTTTTATACAGCAACAACAACCTGAACACTTCCTTGCCTTGATGTGTGGGAAGGTTCACATGGTAAAGCTCCAGCAACATCACCCCCTGTTGTGTGCCCAAATCTCAGTTATTTGGAGGCCTAAGTATATGACTGAATATCACCAACCATGGTCCTATAGAACACCCAACTAATGGAGAGACTTTCCTCGCCAGGCTGTGTGTGCAGGCCCACGTGGTGAAACTCCAGCAGCACCACTCCATGTACAGCTCCCTGCTCACCTCGCTCAAGGCCTACAGGAAGGGCTTCTGGAGGAGGATGGTAAGGTATTACTTCAGTCCTTGCACCTCCTGACAGTCCAATGACGGTTTAACAAGCAATGTTCACCTATAAACATAGCATACTTACTATGATATCAGCTGCCTGCCCTTAGAACATTTACAAAGGGCTCTCTTATTAAGATCATTCAGGAGTAAAAATTTAATTCAGAGATCTAGTAGTTACTTAATTCAGTGATCAAAAAACCTGAAACTTTTTCGTTAATTGTTTTGAGGCAATTACTGGTATGTACCCTTTCTGCACTACTGCTTTTGTGAAAAGAAATCTGTAATATACATAAGAAACAAAGGACTGTCACGTCACCAGAGTGGGTACTGAAGGTTAAACACCTGCATCATTCCCGGCTTCCTTCCCACAATAAGTTGATGGTCCAGTGTTTCACACAACATGACATGGCACACAACTCAGGACAGGGCACACAACTCAGGACAGGGCACACAACTCAGGACAGGGCACAAGTCCTTGAGATACACCTTAATCATAAAACAAATATGTCCTGTTAGGGCCCAGAATCTGTCGTGTGGTTGGATTCCCTATTGTCTACTTCCAGATCCCCCAGCACAGGTGTGAGGTGGAGGTCCTCAAAAAGAATCCCATCCCTGTAGAGTTCCAACAGATCCTGGAGAGGTGATCAGACATGTGCGATACTGTAGATGCTGAGTGGTGATATATCTGAATATAGGGACATGTTTTGTCATGTTATATCTGCTTGTCATGGAGAACCGATCAATCATGTTATATCTGCATGTCATGGAGAACCAATCAATCATGTTATATCTGCATGTCATGGAGAACCAATCAATCATGTTATATCTGCATGTCATGGAGAACCAATCAATCATGTTATATCTGCATGTCATGGAGAACCAATCAATCATGTTATATCTGCATGTCATGGAGAACCGATCAATCATGTTATATCTGCATGTCATGGAGAACCAATCAATCATGTTATATCTGCATGTCATGGAGAACCGATCAATCATGTTATCTGCATGTCATGGAGAACCATCAATCATGTTATATCTGCATGTCATGGAGAACCAATCAATCATGTTATATCTGCTTGTCATGGAGAACCAATCAATCATGTTATATCTGCATGTCATGGAGAACCGATCAATCATGTTATATCTGCATGTCATGGAGAACCAATCAATCATGTTATATCTGCATGTCATGGAGAACCGATCAATCATGTTATATCTGCATGTCATGGAGAACCCATCAATCATGTTATATCTGCATGTCATGGAGAACCGATCAATCATGTTATATCTGCATGTCATGTCAGAAGAACCGATCAATCATGTTATATCTGCATGTCATGGAGAACCGATCAATCATGTTATATCTACATGTCATGGAGAACCGATCAATCATGTTATATCTACATGTCATGGAGAACCGATCAATCATGTTATATCTACATGTCATGGAGAACCGATCAATCATGTTATATCTGCATGTCATGGAGAACCGATCAATCATGTTATATCTGCATGTCATGGAGAACCGATCAATCATGTTATATCTGAATGTAATGGGGAAGTAATCAATCATGTTATATCTGCATGTCATGGAGAACCGATCAATCATGTTATATCTGCATGTCATGGAGAACCAATCAATCATGTTATATCTGCATGTCAGAGAACCCATCAATCATGTTATATCTGCATGTCACGGAGAACCGATCAATCATGTTATATCTGCATGTCAGAGAACCAATCAATCATGTTATATCTGCATGTCATGGAGAAGTAATCAATCATGTTATATCTGCATGTCATGGAGAACCGATCAATCATGTTATATCTGCATGTCATGGAGAACCGATCAATCATGTTATATCTGCATGTCATGGAGAACCGATCAATCATGTTATATCTGCATGTCATGGAGAAGCGAGCGGCCATGTTATGTATGGCCCAAGTACACAGTGTCTCTCAACTTATCTTTGTTATGTTTTTGTTCAGGAATAAATATGTTCACATTGAGTCTGCCTTTCTGTTATGTGTGAATGCTTCAGATGTCACCAGTTACCATTTTGGGATCTTAGACATGTCCAGCTGTAGACTTATTGTGAAACCTTCAGACCTGTCCAACTGTAAACTTCTTGTGAAACCTTCAGACATGTCCAACTGTAAACTTCTTGTACAACCTTCAGACTTGTCCAACTGTAGACTTCTTGTGAAACCTTCAGACATGTCCAACTGTAAACTTCTTGTACAACCTTCAGACTTGTCCAACAACCTTCAGACTTGTCCAACTGTAAACTTCTTGTGAAACCTTCAGACATGTCCAACTGTAAACTTCTTGTGACAACCTTCAGACTTGTCCAACTGTAAACTTCTTGTGAAACCTTCAGACTTGTCCAACTGTAAACTTCTTGTGAACAACCTTCAGACCTGTCCAACTGTAGACTTATTGTGAAACCTTCAGACTTGTCCATCTGTAAACTTCTTGTGACACCTTCAGACTTGTCCAACTGTAGACAGATTGATTGCATGGGAGAGTAAACTGTATAACCCCCATGAATGAATGAATGAATGAATATGGCTTTACTCATCTTTCAGCAATATTGTCGGGACACAAGCAATGCGCTCCATGCATTGTACTCGTGTCGGGAATCGAACAGAATCTTATGTGTGATGAGCGATGCTCTAACGTCCATAAGGATATCCCACTGTCCCACACCAACTATCTCTGAGCATCTGCCTTGAGTGACCGCCATTTACCAGTGAAGTATTATTTATTATTTGGGACGTCATAATGGTTTCTCATATGAATCATGTCAAGAATGTTGTGAAAACATGTTTATTGATCTTTATGATGTCCACGAAATAAACCTAACGAAGGGAACACTACATCTTTGTGATCAGATCAGTCCATCCTCTTATTAGTTGAAACAGTAAGACAATCACCTGGTGACTGTTTTAAGAGAAACAGTTTAGTCAAATTTCTGAAGAAAGGAACAGACCTGTCTATCCACGACTCTCCTTCACCATGACAAGAGCGACTTTGTGGGATTTTACGCTGCTTTAAGCAATATCACGACTGGCGTCACTGGAAACGGACTTCACACACTGTACTCAGTGGGGAAGCAAACTCTGTCCTCCCCGTCACGAAGGATTTCGACACAAGGCTACCCAGGCTCCCCCTTGACTGCAGACAGTACTAGGGTACCTACAATGTGTGAAGCCCTGTATTGGTCGCGTGTCCACGTAGTGTATTTGGAATAGTGTTAAACTTGCTGAGTGAGTGAGTGAGTGAGTATGGTTTTACGCCGCTTTTAGCAATATTCCAGCAATATCACGACGGGGAACACCAGAAATCGGCTTCGCACATTGTACCCATGTGGGGATTCGAACCCTGGTCTTCGGCGTGACGAGCGGACGCTTTAACCACTAGGCTACCATACCGCCCTTAAACTGGCTGAGACGTCCATAGAAATGGTGCAAATGTCAATTTGTGTCCCCGTCACTTATAACGGCACTAGGACTGAACACCATGTGTCATCATCACTGTAAATTTGCTTTGATTTATGGGAGTATAGACTGTTTGGAATTTGCTTTCGTTCCTGGAGTTTAACTTGGCGTTTGAAGGACAGTAAAGAAACATTCATCCAAACGTAGCAGACAAGAACTGGTTATGTATTTTGTTACTGATATCACAGGCGATATTACATGCATCTTAGGTCCAAACTGGCTGAGACGTCCATAGAAATGGTGCAAATGTCAATTTGTGTCCCCGTCACTTATAACGGCACTAGGACTGAACACCATGTGTCATCATCACTGTAAATTTGCTTTGATTTATGGGAGTATAGACTGTTTGGAATTTGCTTTCGTTCCTGGAGTTTAACTTGGCGTTTGAAGGACAGTAAAGAAACATTCATCCAAACGTAGCAGACAAGAACTGGTTATGTATTTTGTTACTGATATCACAGGCGATATTACATGCATCTTAGGTCCTGTGAAGATTCGGGGCCAGAATTTCAGAATCCCATGCTTGGTTTAAGAGGCTGCTAACAGGAACAGGTTCTCAGGCTGGTAGACTAATGCTTATTCTCCGAATATATATAGGCTCCAGAGAGATGGGAGATTCGGAACCTTAGGGAATCCAGAATTGTTTTATTAAGGACTTCAGCATTGAAGGCTGGGCGGGAAGGAACATAATGTGGTTCAGGGACTGTGGCTGAGTCGGCTGTATATAGCAATGCTCATCATGTCTGTCAGTGGATTGTTTGGTCCAAACTGGACTATTTACAGTCAAATAGCTGGAACATGGCTGAATGCTACATTAGACAACATTTAAAACGCAATGGACATTTAATTGCCACTGTCAGCAATATTCCAGCACACCACAGGGCGTAGGAACGGTTTCAGTGTGTATGGTTTTAGAGGGGGCCTAAATCAAAATGAAATCAAAATGTAATTGTAGTATGGTAAGGTAGATATGGTTTCGTCTTGAAAAGTGGGGGCTCTCCCAGCACCTGCACCAGAAATGGGTTTCGCACATTATCATTGTGGGGAATCAAACCCGTGTCTTCGGCGTGACGAGAGAACCACCAGGCTACCCAGCCGTCCCGTGGTGGTGTAGCAGCGTACCTTCGTGTTATGATTTTCATTTTGCTTGATGGTCCTGTGAGTATGATCAAACTGAGCTTAGTTTCAAATAATTTGAACCAAGGTGAAGCTATTTCTAATATTCAGTTCTTTTCAGAACACTTCCAATTTATAACTGAATCATCAGTTCATGAATACTCAATGTATTTTAGAAATGTCAGATGCAGCATTTGTTATGATTTGGGGATTATACTTTCTCAGTAAGGTGAATCCAGGATAGGTCTCAACCCTACACTAGAAACTACTTTCCTGAGAACGTGTAATCTCAGACATAACATACGCTGCAACAGTTAATGATATTTTTAAGTATAAGCATATATACAGTATATACAAAATATACAGTTTGTTTTTTGTTTTCAATAACTTTCGGTGTTGCTAATATTCATGTATCGTACGTGATGTGATTTGTTACCTGAGGAAACACGTCATTGAAATCATTCGTGCGATATTCATGATCCATTCCCATACATTCAGTGCAATAAGTTTGCTTGTTTGTTTGAAAAATTCACATACAAAACGGAATTCGTGAATCTGCAAGTCAAAACATTGATTACACAACAGTCTCGTTTCCGGTTGACTGGTTCCCGTCCTACTGCGCAACAATAACCAGTCCAGAATTTTGAGACCAATTCAATTAACTGGATACATAATTATTAATCAGTATTATTTGATACATCTAAACACTTGTATATTGCAACACTACGCTCCTTCTAATCCTTGCAAACATGTCAGGCAGCGTGCTCTGTCGTACAGCGAGCTCTGACAAACGGAAACGTGGAAATCTCAAAACGCGGCTCGGCCGCTAGAAAGTTTGGCGGTCTGGTACGGACTTCACATTATATCAATCACATTGTACGTTACAGAACTACACTGAATAAGCGCAAAGAACACATAACCAGTGAGCCAGATGCATTATGAATCATTTTACGACCTCATCAAACAGGGTCAGTCTGTGACGTCTTAGTTAAGGTAATGCTGTCTACACCTCGCCATAAAATATAGAAATACGATGTTATTAAAGTTTAAAATTAAAATTCATTTGTAAATACCATTTTCGTATGAAACAAGGAATCGGAATTCAGTGTAACCATAGTGATGTCTATTTCCCCTTTCACACGAGAAAATTCGGATCGGCTGAAAAGTAGGTCATTGTCTGAATAGGTTAATGAGTCTCATGTTTGGGTTTGAATCGTGACTTTGTTACCACTTTTCCGCTAAGATGTTACGGTAAATATGCACTTGGACAAAAGTTAAGCAACACCCCGATATTTTTCTGTGTGATCACTTTCGAGATTGCGGGAAATTTTAATTAGTGGTATAACCAAAAAAAGAAACGTGTTTTTTTACAGCAAATGTCAAAAGCAAACTATGACAAACTGACCTTTATTGATTTCAAGTGCGTACACTGAAAAATGAAACTTTACTAAATGGTACACTTTAACAGAATATTTAACAAGATATAAAATATCACCAATGCAGGTAATTTAGGCAAGCACTGACCATAATATCTGTCAGAAATGTTTATTGTTCATTTGCAAGTTATGTTACACGAAGTAAACATAATATCGTGGGTAGGATCCACGGACATTGATGACAGCATGCACCCTCCGTCTCATACGCTGTACAAGTCTCTGAATGCGTCTCGGAGGCAACCAGCTCCATTCCGCGTGAAGTGCTTCCAGCTGCAATGATCTGACCAATGGTTCCGTCTCCAGTGCACCAAATTCCAGCTGGATCTCTCACGACACGTCAATCGTTCACGCATGTGCCGCCAAGTTACTTGTGATCGTTTTGTTGGTCTTCTGGCACTGAAACCTGCTGCTCTGAGGCGCCGTCTAACAGTCCTTGTAGAGTCTCTCTGATTAGTGTACCACTGGTCTCTCAATTGTGTCGAATTTGCGAAGGGGGGTTTCGTCTAACGATCCTCAATAGTCGTCTGTCCTCTCTTACAGATGTTATTTTCTGTCTGACAGATCTTGGGCGATCACTCAGATCATTTATTTGTCGATGTTTGTCAATTAAACGGCTTATTACCGAGTGGTGACGACCTGTTCTTCCACCAATAGCTCTCAAAGACATTCCGCTGTCTCTCAGTCAAATAATCTGCCACGGAAGTAGACAGGCGACGTCTTGCCATGACAAAGTTTCATTTACTTCTTCTCTGTGAACACCGAGTACACCGCGCTCGATGTTCACGACTTTAAAGTGGACTTTTGACTTTTCACGGAAAAAATCACCTATATTTGGCAATAAATTCCGTCATAGTAGCATAATAATGAAATATTAATTTGGCGTTGCTTAACTGTTGTCAAGGTGTGTATATATACGTATATTTCAGGCTTATGTTGTGATTCCCAAAATGTTGTCTGTTGAATTAGCTTTAAACATCATACTGAAAATATAATTTATCTCGTTACACAGGAAATATTCGTTATTGGTGTCCAATGTGTTGTCTAAAATGGACGTCCCCTTTGAATCGACTGGCTACCAGGTTTGTAGTGTAGGGCTGTGTGTTGGCAAATAAATTGTGTTCCAATATATTGCGATTCAGGTACCCGTATTGCGATACGTATTACGATATATTGGGAACTTAAGTGGTTGACAGCGAGTGACAATAATTGTACATGTCGATCCAATTTTCAACATTAAAAGTCCATAAACATGCATGCTATGGTTCTGATAACAGCAATCTCAAAATTAGGTTCCATAGTCATGGATTCTATGTTCTTTTATACAATTTATTGAATTACAGTATGCCGTTTTGCTATTGAATAACGAAGGAAACCATTTGTTGTGAATGAAAGTGTGTAGATGTTAATTTAAACCATAAAGATAATCACAAAAACTTCATATATGTTCTTTACCCAATGTACCGGTCCTCCGAAAAAATATTGCAATACGTATCGTTTGAAAAGCGTATTACGATATACCGGTATACCGGTAATACCGTGCAGTCCTAGTGTAGTGTGATATGAACCCCTCTACAAGGACCCTCGTGTCCAGCCGTGTCCAGCCGTGTCCAGCCGTGTCCAGCCAACAGTCCCATAGAAGTAGTAGCCCTGATAATCAGCTACATAAGCACCATAGTGAAATTCAAGGACATGCTTTTGGAATGACTGTTCAGAATATATATAAGTTATTTCGTTGCCTTATACATATATTCAACCTATATGACCTGTCTGGTCCAATGATGTTAGAATACAATTCAGGTGAGCCATAGAGCGGCTGAATTTATTTTTGAGTATGAACGGTTTTGTGGATTTTCTGTAGTGTCATATCCCGAGTTTTACCAGACAGATATACCCGTTACTGCCATTTCAGAATCAAACGACCAAACAGTCTACAATAATATGGTTACTCTTTCAAAAGCGATGTATACCTGTACACATTCCCAATTAGGGTTCGCCAAGTTCAGCTGTACCGTATTTACTCCAATAGACGACACCAATAGAACCGATCCATTTGATGGAGATACCTGGCTATGTGGTTTATTTTATAGTGTTGCTTGGAAACTAGGCTACCAGAGAGATTTGGCATCATCATTATAGTAACAGTAGGTACCTGTTCATGGTGTTCGCCCCACTTGATGGTCTAAGCCAGGTGCTCCTACTTTATATGTTTATCGTGTTGTTTTCATTGGAGGGGCGGTAGGGTAGCCTAGTGGTTAAAGCGTTGACTCGTCACGCCGAAGACCCGGGTTCGATTCCCCACATGGGCACAATGTGTTAAGCCCATTTCTGGTGTCCCCCGCCGTGATATTGCTGCAATATTGCTAAAAGCGGCGTAAAACTAAACTCAGTCAGTCAATCAGTGTTTTCATTGGAACCAAAATATCGCCTTTTGGCCATAATTTCTTTGTTATGTTCTTTGTTGTTGTCTTTAGTTGTTGTTTAACGCCACACTCAACAATATTCCAGCTATATGGCTGCGGTCTGTAAATAATCGAACCTGGGCCAGACAAACCAGTGGTCAACATCATGAGCATCGATCTAAGCAATTGGGATACGATGACATGTGTGAATCAAGTCAGTGAGCCTGACCACCCAGTCCCGTTAGTCGCCTCTTGGGACAAGCAAAGGGGTGCTAAAGACCAATTCTAACCCGGATCTTCGCGGGTTCATTGTGGTAAACTATTATAATGAAAGGATTTTGTGGTATACGCAGTATGGTACCATTATGTTGACGACTAAGGTAGTTTTGAGCATCAATAACAATGCAGGTCGTGTTTCCTGGTGATAGATAAAGGTATATATGGCGGATCACACGTGACCAGACTGCACGGGCATCACAGAACGTGCAAGGCGTGCCGATGTCGCGCATGTCAGGTAGCTGAAGTGGCCCTCCCCGACGTCGCCATCTGCATCAGCGCAAGGTAAGTCAGCTTGTTGGTGGGGGTAGGTTGGTATCGAGGTTGGTATCAAGCCTTTATTTATTTATCTAGGTTATTTGTCTTTCGGGATATTCGTATAAAGTGTGAAATGTACCGCATTTTCGTGAGTATAGTGCTCGCAGAAACATAATGTGGCGGTATTGAAATAACACGATTTGGAAATGTTAAAACTTTGAGTAACAATAATACCATATATGTAGAGCAATTGCTGGATGGGAACAGCACAAAGATAGATTTCAACTTCTTCAGTACATCACATCAGTTATATGTTTACAACTTACTAATAAAGCAAAGGACTTTGTGGACGTCTTGTTTATTGCATAGATCGATGTTTCGGAGTAGATTTTAGTTTGAAAACGGTGTAAGAATCTACTCAGAAACGTCGCTCTTTGCAATAAACAAGAAGTTGTCATCCATAAAGTCGTATGCTTTAATATCGACTCACCAACTTCTAGAATGCCGATCAAACAATGCTAACAAGTTCGTTACTTGTTTTTACCGTGTTGGTGCCCATGTCGATCATTCTGCGTTAACAGTCAGGGCGATCCAGCGCGAAGTCCTATATACGGCCGATACTTTCTGTGAACACAAGCAGTGAGAAGCCCATTCTTGTTGTTCCGCCTTCATATGGTAATATATCTAAAAGCGGATTACTCTTTATCAGGCTCATTTAGGTTGGGATATAAGAGCTTGTTCCAGGGTTTTGTGCGTTGATCATGTTTCCGACATCTTGTATGTGTGGCCAGCTCTATTGAAATACCGCCGTGATGTTGCTGTAAGATCGCCGACTGAGGCCTTGAACAACCAACATTCACCCAGTAGTACATATATAGACCACTTAACGTTTGATATGGATCATTCAGGTGGGGAATAATGCTAAAAGGGCGTCTGATAGGGATAGACAAGAGGGAGGTGGGTGGGGTCTGATAGGATAGACAAGACAGAGAAGGGGTGTGTGTACCCAACCCATTGACTCTGTTCCTTGCGTCATTCCTTTATGGACGAGGTTGGGTAGCCTGGTGGATCAGGTTTAGCCGTACACGCCTAAGGGTTCGATATTCCCACACTGGTTCAGTGAAGTCCATGTCCAGTGTCCGGCATTATACTTAGAAGTCTGGTAAAATGGCATCAAACCCTACTCACTCACTCACTCATTCCTTGAACAGCGGAAGGATACACCGGATACCCACGAGGGATGATCGTTGTTTGAGTGGCACCTCCTGACCTCGCCGCCATTATGAGTATCCGATCAAGAAAGCTGACAGCTCTCAACCTCCAGGACGATGTCGTCACCGTTACCGAGGTAACAGACCCAAAGGTATGATGATGATGATGATGATGGTGGTGATTTCTTTTACCAAATACACAGAATATCTTTGAACACAAAATATTTCCTTAACCCGAGATGAACCTTTTACTATAGTCAGTTGCAAATCAAATGGCTTGACCATGTTAAATACGCAGAGGACAATTAAAGGGCCTACAAGGTGCTTCAGGCGAGCTGGGTCATGACCCATTAGACGACCTTCGTCTGTTATACCTTCCCAGATAGATATTGCAGGCATAATGATGTCTAAAAAAAAGCCGCAATTCCGATAAAAATTTACATGCAACATGTTAATCATATTTAAAAATCTCAATTTGCCCCGTGACATTTCTGAGTGTGAAATTTTGGATTTTGATGTGCATCATTGTGATATTCGGAATATAAAGTCTTCTTGTGCTCAAATGTATTTTAGTTCACTAATATGAATTTTCTTTACTTCTATGTATACTCGTTGCCTACCGTGTAATAAATTACTGGGGCTGTAACGATGCATCGAACTATCGATGGATTGCAGTTGTTGAGTCTCCGATAGCAATTAATCGATGGTAGAAACGAAAAACTATCGATGAATCGATAGTATGTGTGACTATCGATAGTTTAGTAATTGACTCCCGTTGATAAATGCGCAGCGCAAAATACAGGAAGCACCAGATTCGTTCGTTAAATTAGAGTTATCCGCCCCTGCAGACTTGCAGCTTCATTGTGTTTATGTTTTAACTGTTTAAATGTCTTTAATGCAGTGGCGGATCCAAGGAGGGGGGGTTCAGGGGGTTCGAACCCCCCTTTTGAAAATGACTTAAGACCACATTCAAAACAAAAATTGCGTTGGCGGAGCCATTGAGGGGTATTAACCCCTGAACAATTCAATCCGCCCATAAAAATTCAATGATAAAATAAACAATTGCAATGGTTGGTTGCAATAGACTATCGCTATCGCAATTGACTACATTAGTATGTTGCAAAAGACTATCGCTATCGCCGTAGTTGTTTCGCCTCAATAGTCACCTCTATAAATTACCCATAGAAATTAAAAAACATTAGATTTTTTCCTCTGTTTATAGTTAATCAGTCCTATTAATTATTGACCCGTGTAATCCCAACACAGAACGGCACAGCTGACGTAACAGTGTCGAAAGAGACTTATGTTGACGGATATGTTGACACCGTAGAGGTCGATAAAGGTCACGTGGAGGTCAACAAAGGTCACGTAGAAATTGACACGAGCCACGTAGAGGCTGGACATGGTCACCTTGAAATTGACAGCAAGCACACTGAGGTCAGCGGAGGTCATAAAGAGGTGCACGAAAGACATACAGAGATCACGGATGGCCACGTGGTTACCATCGAGGCAGACAGCGAGACTAACCTCAGGGTAGGTAACTCATGATTGACGTGTGAAGTAAGAATGAACTTGATTCGTACAGACCTTTCTGGGGACTCGAACCCGGACATAGGGAACTGGCAAGATCGAGAAATCTTGCTTCGTTACTTTTAGTGCCCGTTTTTCTCGATATAATTCGAATGAATATGCCCGTATATGGTGAAAGTCAAAGATGTGTACGAGGGGAGGTCAAAAGTTTTTGGGGGCGGTGGAGTAGCCTAGTGGTTAAAGCGTTCGCTCGTCACGCCGAAGACCCGGGTTCGATTCCCCACATGGGTACATTGGGTGAAGCCCATTTCTGGTGTCCCCCGCCGTGATATTGCTGGAATATTGCTAAAAGCGGCGTAAAACCAAACTCACTCACTCACTCACTCAAACGTTTTGAGAATTTCTCGCATCAGTAGGGTATCTCTCTTCCAGTTATCACAATATTATACTGTTTGTTGCGAGGTGTTGAAACTTTCACAGGTATCTCATGAATGATCGATGAATACAATACTACCAGCGGCATAGCTGTTTCACAACTATAGGTAGTGAGTTCTCAAAACGTTTTAACCTCCCCTCGTATATCCTTTCACCTTGGCAGAAACTAGAAAATATATCAGTGACAGGGGTACATTGTGTCACGTGATGGTGGGTAACCGCCATATTGACTGACTGTAAAAGTCAACAAATACAGAATGGGCGTCAAGCTCAACGTGGTGCCAAAAGTACGGTTTCCACGGACTATAGCAGGGTCACATAGCCATTGAGTGGTTAAAGTTTTAAACCGCTTTTAAAACTGTTCCAGCAATATGGGGGCGGTAGGGTAGTCTAGTGGTTAAAGCGTTGGCTCTTCACGCCGAAGACGGGTTCGAATCCCCACATGGGTACAATGAGTGAAGCCCATTTCTAGTGTCCCCGCCGTGATATTGCTGGGATATTGCTAAAAGCGGCGTAAAAAACTGTTCAGAGCAATCTGACGGAACTGAAAAAATGAGTGGAATCGGATCTTCGGTGTGAGGAGGGAATACTTATCCGACGGTCCAAGATCATACACCATTATGAAATAGGTTTCCTTATGCCTCGTAAAGCTATCGTACAATTTACACATACACTTTAGATTTATGGGGCTGACCTTTTGATATACGGGTCATTGTCGCCTCCTTCAACACATCCGGGTCCGTACCGTTGCAACGCCTGTCTGGTTGTCAATGACGACGATGGTCCCCTCAGGTAACCAAGCCCATGGTAGAAGATCAGGCATTGACTTTCGGGTTGGCGGAACCGGAACGGTTGCCTTGAAGCTCACAAGGGTCGAGGACTACCTTGAACCCGGGGCTCAAGGACAACTGGAAGACTTGATACATTTTTTACCTATCTGTGACACTGTTATTATGTGACATCAGTCTGCCATGCTCGAAATGAAACCGAGCAAAACAAATTACCCTCGATACTCCCACGATCTTATCCGTTTCCAAATAGCGACCTCAGGCCTACGGTCGTATTACGTCCCACGTAGAGTCAAGACAGTGTATTTGTTTATTTATTTTCAATTTGTGGAAAGAGAATCCTGTCTGGACTTTTTCCCTTCGCGATACCAAGGATTGTTATTTGTCATTGCCCAAACACAATATAAATACATGGTGTCAATTTTGCAGAGCGATGGAAAGGTAGATACATCAACGTCAGTGAAGGTCAAGGACACTGTGACGCCAACGGAAGTCAAGGATGTGGAACTCAGAAATAGGAAGGTATGTACATCTCTGTCATATTGCATTATTCCGTGAGTGAGTGAGTGTGTGTGTGTCAACTCCACATTGAACAGTTATAACATGGAGGGTCAACGAATTGCGTCAGGAGAACATACTTGAGCCGTCACGACATTCCAGTACATGCTTTGAAGAAAATGTTTATTGTTTAATAGTTTCAAAAACGGTAAAATATCAAAACGTATTATTTTGTTCCGAATCTACGAAAGAAAAATGGTGCCACTTTTTCATTTATTTTTTAGCCCAAAATGTCTCGTCATTTCAATTATTTGGGTATTTTTCGTAATTTCGAATAATTTCGTTTTTTCACGTTTCAAATATTCATAATTTCGATTTTTTAAATCTCTTTGCTTCGATTTTCCACGTTATTTCTATAACTGTTTAACAGGGTGGGACAAAATCCGATGGATCTTGTCACGAGGGTACAATTACGAAGAAAGCGAGAGGCACTTGCTTCACCCGGGGTGTTCACCGTGTCCAGAAGCGGGTGTCGGCGTTTGTCTACAACCACGCCCGCGTCATCTCCCTCGCCTTCAAGATCTCCTTTCTCCTCTGTTACTACGCCGTGTTTGGTTACGCCATGTATTACAAGTTCGGTGATGAAGGGTCCATCCGGTTCCTCGTCATCACCATCATCATCACCCTGTATGTCTTGAACAGGTAGGACACGATCTGTCTGGTTGCCAGGCAACGTCTTAGTAGAGACCAATGGTGGGTGGAATCAACTTGCAGGGCTCCGATGGTTGCTCGTGTACTTGTGTACGGTTTTGATGGACTCCGGTTTCGATTTCCGCTAGTTGAGGACGCGAGTTCCAAAACAGGAGCTAACTCACGTCTTTAGTGCTCTAACTCGCGTCATAGACATTAGCAAAACTCAAATTACATAGACATACTTAACTATAAACTCAACTCATAGAATCGGTACACGAGCCGTGTCTGGTTTTGAAACAGTTCAATATTTTCCCACCTGTCGAGCCGTATTTTAGAAAATCTACCCTACGTACTTCTTAATTAGAAGTAGACCATGACAGCCGTGCAAGTATTTTTTTTGTCCATTTAAGACTTTCGTTTAACTTTATCCGACTTTTAGGCCATATTCTAAAAAGATTATGGAATACCATTTGTGGTTTATGATCAGCCGAAAATGACATTTGAGAATCCTTAACCATTGTGTCCAGTCTTTTGTGTACTCGATGTTTTGTGCAGTTGCATTTGGGCTAATGTTGTTTCCAGATTCACGCTAACAGTCTACAGTTTTGTTTTGGTCAGTCCGACTTATCAACTTTTGGTATAAGCACGCACCTGTTTCAGGATTGGAAAGATGGCGATCAAGAAGCGCTGGAGCTGTTGCTGCTGGTTGGTAGGATCGATCAAGTGTCTGCAGGCGATGGAGAAGACGTTCTGGAGGTTGTCGAAGGCGCTGAAGTTAGTCATCACTGTAGTAGTTGCATGTCTGTGGTGATGGTGGTGCTGACGCGATGGGGCTTTAAGTTGTTTGGTTGGTTTGTTGTATAACGCGGCTCTCAGCATCATTCTAGCTTTATGGCGGTGGTCTGTAAATAAACGAATCTGGGCCAGACAATCCCGTGATCAACAGTATGAGCGTCGATCTACGCAACTGGGATACAATTACATGTGTCAACCAAGTCAGCGAGCCTGACCACCCGATCCCGTTAGTCGCCTCTTAAGACAAGCCTGGGTTGCTGAAGACCAATTCTAACCAGGATCTTCACGGGTACGGGCATTGAGTACAATCTGGCGTTCTTTATAACCCAAGATTGATTGAAGAAAATTGTGATTCTAATGAACCAAAGAGCTGACTGCCGTGTAGGCATGTTGGAGTTAGTGAGTATGAGTTCATTCTGCTTTTAGCAATATTCCGGCAATATAACGGCCGGGGACACCAGGAATGGGCTTCACACATGTAACCATGTTGAGAATCGAACCCTTTACCCATTAGGCTACCCTGCCGGCCCGGGTATGCGGGCCCGGAAATGCAACATGATGTTGAGATGTTGTGGGGTTTCAACAGTTATCTGGGATAAACGGTGTTATATTTGTAAACCAGTTTTCAGCGCACTCTACCGGTATATAGGTAATTGAAGTAACGCCTGAAAGTGGCTGTGTATATGAGCCATATCAAAGGTCCAGCTGTAGCCATTAATTAGCCTTTTCTGTGTTTTGGTTATATTATGGATAAGTTTTTGTGGAACTGTTTGAGGTTGTGGGAATGGTGCTGACAAACCAAACAATCGGACCTGGATTCGAACCAAATGCAAGTATACCTTAGTAATTAAGGGCCGAGACAACCGAGTGGGGCGGTGGGGTAGCCTAGTGATTAAAGCGTTCGCTCGTCAACCCGAAGGCCCAAGTTCGATTAACCACGTGGGTACAATGCGTGAGCCCATTTCTGGTTTCCCCCGCCGTGATATTGCTGGAATATTACTAAAAGCGGCGTAAAACAATACATACTCACTCACTCGAACACCGCGTACAGTGTCATCTGACTGCCGATACGGACTTTACGTAGTGTGTACAAGCCCCTGAGGTACTGACCACGTTGTCTACTGTCCACATCTGTTCCGTGCAGGCTGAAGATCATCCTGTGCGTGATGATGATGATCTTCTTCCTCGTGTACGTCATCGTGGTCGTCGGGCTCAACTCCCCAGAGAACCTCATCTCCGCGGCCGGGATGATCTTCTTCATCGCCACTTTCTTCGCCTTCTCCTACGATCCTTCAGCGGTAGGTGACAGGGGTGGAAATAAACCATTGCCCGACGCCCGAGTCCAGTGTTTTTTTCTGTTGGGCAAGCAAATTTGTATATCACACTGTACCGGTGTCCAGTTGACTTTCCAATATCAATTATGTTGTTTATTTAAAAATTCAACAAGAAAACGTACGGTATAGTGGAAAAGTTATCAGGGCAAGTGATTTTACATGTACCACTGCACCGGAGTACACTAGCAATTTTAAAGTTATTTCCACCCCTGCAGGTGGTGGCGTAGACTAACAACTAGTCTCTGAAATGAACATATTATACTGAAAAAAGTTCATAGTAAAAAATATATATATAATAAAAGGAGCCCTGAGACGCTGAAATCTAGACTTGCCACATTTTCTACACCTGCGGTGGTGGCGTTATGCCTGTGTAAAGGAGTGTTGATGTAACAGATAGTCGGTGTTACGGAGTATCAATGTAACGAAGTGTCAATATAATGGAAAGTCAGTGTTACGGAGTGCCAATGTAACAAAGTAACGATGTAATGGAAAATCAGTGTAACAATGTGTCGATGTAACAATGTGTCGATGTAACGACGTGTCGATGTAACGACGTGTCGATGTAACGACGTGTCGATGTAACAATGTGTCGATGTAACGACGTGTCGATGTAACGATGTCGATGTATAACAGAGTATCAATGTAACTAGTTGTACACTGGCGTGGTGTCTGTTATACCTCTATCTACAGGTTGCGTGGCGTCCGGTTGTCAGTGGCCTATCCATGCAGTTCGTCTTCGCTCTGATGTTGATGAGAAGTCAAACTGGCGCCATGATCTTCCTGTATCTGGGCGACAGAATCATGGAGTTTATGGAATATGCTGACGCAGGTGCCAAGTTCGTGTTCGGACCCAATTTTGCTGACCACTTCTTCGCCTTCAAGGTACGATTACATCAACTGAGTAGGGTGACCGTTGGTGCTCATTACCCTGTTGTGGGGAGACGTACAAGATAGTGGTCAGATATGCTCACATGGTTGACTGCGAGGACATTACTCGGTGATCATAAAACCAGAACAATCCAACATTTGTTAACTTTAGATTATTAAACATTGTTGACCTTGAAGGGCAGTTGACGCCATATCAATTTCGATCATGGGTGATTGAGTGAGTGAGGGAATGCGTGCGTGAGTGAGTGAGGACGTTTTCCACTAGTTTGAAATCCTCGAGCACGGTCGATTGATGTCCCACAACAGCTGTACTGACTGACTGACTGAGTTTGGTTTTACGCCGCTTTTAGCAATATTCCAGCAACATCACGGCGGGGGACACCAGAAATGGGCTTCACACATTGTGCCCATGTGGGCATTCGAACCCGGGTCTACAACAGCTGTAAGTGTGACGGAGCTGGGATGTCCGTCCAGGGCAAGAGTCTGCCCTGGCTTCAAACCTTGCGAAATGTGACTAGTAGACTGAACCACTGGCGTACTGGAAGACAAAAGATTTCGTCTCTGGAGTACAAGCAGACATTCTGACAAGGAAGTCACTGATGAAGCCATGATCGATGGTCATGATGATGAGGAGGAGGATAGCCTATTTTCTTTTCAAAAACGTTCAGTCTTCATGACACATCTGATTGAATTTTGTTTCACGCCACAATATCAAGCAGTGCCATGGCTTGGGACACCAGAAATGCGTCTCACGCATTGTACACCTGATTAGAATCGAACCCGGGCCTTCGGAGTTACAAGCGAATACTGCCTCTCTCTAATCCCTCAGTCAACACTGTCTGAGGTGAACATAGAGATGAGGATGGCATCAGTTTGAGTTTGTTCTTTCTTCGATTGAAACAACATGAAACCACGATTTTCTTAGGTTTATTATCGAATTTAGCAATTTAGCGATGATCATAACAGCATTCCATGATCGCCTGGGGTGGTGGGGTAGCCTAAAGGTTCACGCATCCGCTCGGCACACTGAGGACCCACGTTCGAATCCCCACAGCGGTACAATGTGTGAAGTCCATTTCTGGTGTGCCGCGCCGTGATATTGCTGGAATATTGCTAAACGCGGCGTAACACCATACTCACTCACTCACTCACTCTTTCTCCAGGTGCTGCCAGTGGTGATCTTCTTCAGCACGGTGGTGTCTATCCTGTACTACTGGGGGGTCATGCAGTTCGTCATCAAACACATCGGCCGCCTCCTCACCCTCGTCATGAACACCACCCCAGCAGAGAACATCGTCGCTGTTGGGAACATCTTCGTGGGACAGGTAAGTTATATATATAGACCAAACTGTGAGAATTCCCCATAAAGATCCTGAATGGTCTTAACAGGCGACTAACGGGATCGGGTGGTCAGACTCCTGACTTGGTTGACACATGTCAACGTATCCCAATTGCGTCGATGGATGCTTATGCTGAGGGGTATTTACTTATATAAAAAGGATATATTCCTTAAAATACATAAATACCCAAAATTGTCTGGAATAAGCGTACACCGTTGTACTCATGGTCCCAAGCTGTTGGACTAATCGTTGATGTGTTGACTTCATCATTAACTTCAGCTCGCTATGGCCGTATATTACGATGTTGGTGAGGGTATTTATCGCTTGTTGAATAAAAACGTTTCATCTTTTGGGTTAAATTAAATGAATATATGTTCTTTTAATTGTTCCAAAATGCCATTCGAAATAATAACTGGTATTTGTGGTATTGTATGAAAATACTTATTCAGTTGCGGAATTCGATTATTTAAATATCATATACCATTCACAAATATTGGCCCTTGATCATTTTGGGTTTTTGACTGACACAGACTGAAGCACCGCTGCTTGCCGGCCCCTACCTGCAAACCATGACCCGGTCACAGCTCCACACAGTGATGACGAGTGGATTCGCTACAGCAGCAGGGCCCATCATGGCGGCATTTGCACTCTACAAGGTTAATAGAGTTTTTCTTGAAAAGATGCATCGCCCGCATCAGTAAATGTCAGAAAACAACATGTATTTATATATTTTTAACTTTGTGTTCTCTGTCCAATAGTAATTCATGTTACTGTATGTTTGTTGTAAGGAATCGCGGATAGCGAAGTGTGTTTAACGGTGACGTGGAGCTAGCTGTTCCATGTTTTGTCGTGGATGATTTGGCAGTCTCGTTGTGGTGCATGTTGCAGGTGCCGGTGCTGCATCTGTTGTCGGCGTCAGTGATGTCAGCACCCGCCGCCATCGGCATGTCCAAACTGTTCTACCCAGAAACGGAAGACACCACCGCTAGTTCTGACGAACACATCTACAAAGTCAAAAAGTACGTGAAGACGACATTACATATTCATACTCTTGATGTACGGGGATTTGTGTTTTGTAATACGGGTAGATGCATGTGTTGCGATACGGGAGGGTGTAATTATTTTAATAAGGGTATATATCGTTATTAAGGGTATATATCGAGCTGTTATACAGGCGATATGTCGAGAAGTGACTAGTTTCTCTGTTTCAGTGCAAGTAGAAGTACCTATAATCCTTGTTCCAGTACGGGTAGAAACACATAGCTCTGTTACAATGACGGGTAGAATGACGTATCCGTGTCACGGGTAGAAATACGAAGCCATGTTTCAATATGGTTAGAAATATGTTGTAGGATGGATGAAAATTGGGCTTGACATTTAATTAACCATTGGCAGATCGGGGGTGGGTTGTTGTGCAGGGCGTTATGATATACTTTAACACTGACAGCCATGCACAATTGGCGATACAACATACTTGACGGTATTAAGTTACTAGTTAGCTAACCGCCTCCATGGTGTAGTGGTTAGAGCGTCCGCCCGGAGAGCGGAAGGTCACGGGTTCGATCCCCAACCGCGTCATACCAAAAGACGTTAAAATATGGTACTTGTTGGTCCCTGCCTGGCGCTCGGCATTAATGGGTACAACAAGGACTGGTCGGCTCGGAGTCAGTATAATGTGTCTGAGTGGGGTATTCATGCTTCACTGCGGCATGGTATCTCAGTGGACTAGCACTATAAAACCAGCTTAAGTCTGGGCTAGTACAAGCAGCCGCACATACACATACACACGCATGCACGTCGTCATATGAGTGAAATATTCTCAAGCACGACGATAAACCCAATTTCACCTCACCTCACTAGTTAGCTATTTTGTAAAGTAAAATCGAGAGGCCCGTAAGTGACATAGCATAGTTTTTGTTTTCGAAAGTATCCAGACGTATTGTACAGCCTGGACTTCCATCATGTTTTATTCCAGTCGAGCCACCAACACCCTCGAGGCTGCATCCAATGGCGCAATAGAAGCCGTCAAGATTGTCGCCAACATTATAGCTCACCTGATCGCATTTGTGTCGCTGTTGATGTTCATGAACGCCGCCTTCACGTTCCTCGGGTACAGGGTGGGCCTCATCCCCCCAGACTACCCGGAACTCACCTTCCAGGTCAGTGAGTGAGTGAGGGAGTCGCTTGTCGTACTAGTCGAGTGGATTTGAGATTGAGATCGGTTTTATTTCTTTTCTGAGGTTCTGAACACCTGGCTGTCCTTCTTTCTCTGCACTCCGTCGCCACGTAATCAAACATAATAGAAAATAACTAATTTGTAAAGAGGAGTTTACTTCAACTGTGTCAATATTTTAATGATAGTTTGTTAAACAACTTTTTAATTTTTAAGACAAAAATTCTGCAAAAACCTCACAGAGTTGGTATGATGTTTTGATTATGATCAGCGTTTCACTGTTATGTTTATTAGTTTTCGAGTTAGATAGCAATTCATCAGTCCGCTTTTGAGCCAAACGGACTGTAGATGGAATTATTTGTTTTTTTATCAATTACGTGTTAGTCTAGCATCTTATGCTGATGAGACTCAACGTGAATGTGTCACCTTCACACAGTTGGTCTACTCGTACATCTTCTGGCCCGTGGCCTTCATGATGGGGATCAGTTCCCAGGACTGCGGCAGGGTGGCCGAGCTCATCGGGACCAAGATGGTCATCAACGAATTCGCCGCCTATGCCGGCCTCTCCAACTACATCCTCAACAGGAACGACTTGGTCAACTATCTGGACGCACGTAACGTCACCATGGAAACCGGTTACATGAGCCACTGGGACTACAGCGGAAACGACATCCTCCTCCACGACACTCAACAGATTCTCCAAGGCGGCATCATCACGGTAACCATTGTGTATAGGGTATTGTATGTGCCCACCATTCTGTACACTGAAATCTATGGGAGCGTATTAGTGCCAAATGTAACAGTTTGTTTGTTTGTTTGTTTGTTTGTTTGCCTCACTCACTCAGCAATATTCCAGCTTTATGGCGGCGGTCTGTATATAACCGAGTCAGGACCAGACAATCCAGTGATTAATAGCATGAGCATCAATCTGCGCAATTGGAACCGATGACATGACTTGTGTCAAGCAAGTCAGCGAGCCTGACCACCCGATACCGTATCCATGTTTAACTGTTGCATAAATCCAGAATAGTTAGTGAGTGAGTTTAGTTTTACGCCGCACTCAGCAATACTCCAGCTATATGGCGGTGGTCTGTATATAACCGAGTCTGGACCAGACAATCCAGTGATCAACAGCATGAACATCAATCTGCGCAATTTGGAACCGATGACATGACTTGTGTCAAGCAAGTCAGCGAGCCTGACCACCCGATACCGTATCCATGTTTAACTGTTGCATAAATCCAGAATAGTTAGTGAGTGAGTTTAGTTTTACGCCGCACTCAGCAATATTCCAGGTATATGGCGGCGGTCTGTATATAACCGAGTCTGGACCAGACAATCCAGTGATCAACAGCATGAGCATCGATCTACGCAATTGGGATACGATGACATGTGTCAATCTGTGTCCAAATGTACTGTTGAGTAGAACTGTAGGATTCTATGCACTGAAATCTACCCTAACCTGATTAAGTATCCACAGAAATGTTGTGCCCTTAATTGTGTTTGTTTCCCTCGAGAATGGACGCGTCGGACTCATTATGAGCGATAAACAAAATAATAACTGATTTCATACATTGTGTATTAGATTCCTTCTGGCTCTAGTGCTATGCTAGGGGACATAAGCATACCGATTTGTAAGGGTGAGTGAGTGAGATGGGTTCACCAATGCTTTGAAAGGTATTACAGTTATATTACGGCGCAGCAGAAATGTTTGAGGAAAGGTCGACGTGATATAGATTTCAGAAGTCTAACACTTGATCACTGGCATGATGCTGACATACCTCGGAACCTGGTGTTCGAACCCAGTCATATTTATCTTCCTTGCCAAAAACACGTAACTCGGCACAGCGAGATTTTGATTTTGATATATGGTTTATTTAAGCAATCAAAAGAAATCATTTACAACAATTTTTAAATCAGCAAAGATTCCGAATTTCGGAGAAAGCCTTTTGACATATTTGCAGATAAGGTTCGTTAATCTCATTGATTGGCGTGAAACTGAAGCATCTTCCGTCCATTGCCCAGTGATAAACATCTAGGAAATTAGGCCACCATTTCACTTACCTTATGAGTAACTTGCACAGATTTCCTCTCGCTGATGTGAGCAATTTGATTGGACAGCTATTTCTAACGTCGTGATATTTAAATCCAACAAAAGTCGAGGGTATAGCGACGAATGGGTCTAGTTTTTCCTCAAACAAAATCGAGATAAAATACCCTGCATTAGGGGAGATGATTCTGTCTAACAATCTTCAGAACTATTGGTAAGCAGGATGACTTAACGTGGTCTCTATTTCCTTCACAGGACCGGTCGACTGTGATCGCCACGTACGCTCTGTGCGGCTTCTCCAACGCCAGCGCTATGGGGATTATGTTGGGAGCCTTGGTTGCCATCATACCCAAGCGGAAGGCGGATCTCTCCCGAGTGGTGTTCAGAGCTATGATCGCGGGCAATGTCGCGAGCTTCATGACAGCGTGCATGGCGGGTGAGACTTTACACATGAGTCCGGGGTCCTGTATATTGTTGTTGTTTTGTTGTTTATAGCTGCATTCGGCTGTATTCCAGCAGACTGGACCAGACAATCCAGTGGTCAAGATTGTGAGCAACGATCACGGCGTGCGGGGACACGTTAAAGACCACGTCGCCGAGGCTGTCCACTCAATTATAACTGCGTTGCTTCTTGCAACTGATACTGGCGTAATTGTTATTGATATGTATCGAATAGTACGACGTACAATCAAACGTTGCGGGAAATTACGTTTAAACCCTACAGTTCGCTCTGAAACATAGGAAGTAAACTGACGAGCAAAAGAAAGTATACACCAATGTTTAATAACGCCTTAAAATGAAATAAACAAGAAATGATTTTCAGGTAGGGGTGATACTTCGGGTATCATCGTCATAGACGGTTGTTATTCATTTTAGTTTCGTTGTTTGTTTGTGTTTTGCTTATTTCTATTTTATTATGTTTTGGGGTTTTTTAGATTTTTTAACTTATTTTGTATTGTCTCAACGACGTTTCCCTGCCAAGCACGTTTTGAAAACTATTGCAATATGCAGATCACATCCAGTTTTCAATTGTATACATTTTTACCCATCATCTTATTACTTTTGTGGGGCGGTGGGGTAGCCTAGTGGTTAAGGCGTTCGCTCGTCACGCCGAAAACCCGGGTTCGATTCCCCACATGGGCACAATGTGTTAAGTCCATTTCTGGTGTCCCCCGCCGTGATATTGCTGGAATATTGCTAAAAGCGGCGTAAAACTAAACTCACTCACTCACTCACTATTACTTTTGTTCTTCCAGGTCTTCTGTACGGTGGTTAGTGACGACCGCCATTGCCACGCCAACCACGTGACCAGATCACGTGCGTTATATGATGACGTCATAAGGACCTTCAAAAGTCAACAATGGGAAGACACATGAGACAGCAGCAGCCAACAGATGTCGGTACACACACAGACATGAAGACGAAACTGAATTAAAACAAAATATACTGCTGTTGCTTGCGCCTTCGTATTGGGGTAGCCTACTCACACAAACTTGTCATTTGACACCAACATTGTCTTTTGAGTTTCGTTTATTTGTCTATATACTGAAACTATCGACCCGCCAACCATTCGTCACTGTTCGCCTCGCCGCCGTGATTGTAGTTTCATCGGGTATTTCCGGATGGCGCGGACCGTCACGAATGACAGATCACATTGTTTCCTGTAAGACTAGGTCAAAATGTTATATTTATTGTACAAATTGCATCACTATTACTTTATCCAGTATTTCAAGTTTAGCATTAAAGCTATGGTATGAGGGAACTTGGTTGTGAATTTCTGTGGGGAGAGCAACGGCGCCGGTCCCAAGGGCTCATTGCTCCTACAGTATAGGGAATGGCCTGGGCACCGTTTCACAAAACTCTCGTAGGCCTAAGATCTTGTAACTTTTCTCGTAGCATTCGTACCTCCTATACTGTAACATAGGAAGTACGAACGCTACGAGAAAAGTTACGAGATCTTAGGCTTAGGAGAGGTTTGTGAAACGGGGCCCAGCAGTGGTTTCATCAACTTCGGTTTCATCATGGCCGTTTGACAGCATAGAAAAGTAGCATGCAAATCTGCTGCTACATGGTAATAGTTCAATATGCATCGAACTGCTGCTACTACTACCCGTAAAATCCGGGTTAGAATTGTTCTTCAGTACCTCATGCTCGCTGACTTGCTTGACACATATCGTCGTATCCCAATTGCGTAGAACGATGCTGTTGATCAGTGGATTGTCTGGTCCAGACTCGATTATTTACAGACCAACGTCATATAGCTGGAATATTGCTGAGTGTTGCGTTAAACAACAACCAAACCAAACCACTCCGCGTCTATAACGTTAAGCGGCTATAAAGACCGCCTCCGTGGTGTAGTGGTTAGAGCGTCCGCCCGGAGAGTGGAAGGTCGCGGGTTCGATCCCCGACCGCGTCATACCAAAAGACGTTAAAATATGGTACTTGTTGGTTCTGCCTGGCGCTCGGCATTAATGGGTACAACGACTGGTTCGCTCGGAGTCAGTATAATGTGTCTGAGTGGGGTATCCATGCTTCACTGCTGCATGGTATCTCAGTGGGCTAGCACTATAAAACCAGCTTAAGTCTAGGCTAGTACAAGCAGCCGCACATACACACGCATGCACGTCGTCATATGAGCGACATATTCTCAAGCACGACGTAAAACCCAATTTCACCTCACCATAAGCGGCTATAAGAGGTTCGAGTCCTGCATGTGATGTAATTCGATGTGATGGTCCATCTGATACAAGATGAAACGCCTTGTCCACATGACCGAAGCGGTCAACATTGCTGGACTCGATGGCCAGATAGCTCACTACTCACAGTCAACAATGATGTAACTGGCGTCTTTTGAAAACAAAAGGGTACGAGTTCTAATTATAATGAAATTATTTCCGATTATTTCCTTTAAAACTTAAAACCAGTCTCTATGTCTTAAAAAGAGTAAGGACACAAACGCCCTCCTCGCATCTGCCAGTGTCGTATTTCAATGAAATACATCAATTATAAGGTCCAGACAGACTTTGATTTTCGCGCAGACACATACACGGTTCAATTGATGGTACAACAGGCGAAAATTACATGTTTTCTTTCAGAAACTTTTAATTCTTGTGGTAATACACCTAAATGTTATTTCAGTTCATAGTCGGCAGTTGGTGCTACCACAGTAAACATTATCGTCAAATAACTGAACAGTAAGCTGAATACTGGATGCAGTTTCAAAATTCATTTATTACTGTATGATCCATATTGTTCGGTCTTCAGCCATCTTTGACCACAGTCTGTTCGCTCGAGGTGTCTGAAATGAACATCGGAGTATTTATTTAGCAACATTCCATCAATGAACATTTAATTTGTTGACACCCACAAACCTAGAGACATACTCCGGGACTCGAACCCACGCTCATAGCTTCTGGAACGCCATACGGATGGTATTCTACCAACTGTGCGAAAAAGCCACTGGCCCGCTAGCCCGTGGCTAGTAAAAATCCAGTCGGGCCAGTGAATCACATAATGAATTAATGTTATTTTATGCCACAATAATCAAGGTTCCATCCACTGCATGACCTGCAAATAATCAAACCTTCCCCCCACCCCACCTCCACCCATGAAGATCCGGGTTGGAATTAGTCTTCAGCAACTAGTGCGTGTTATCAGAGGCGACTAATGTTATCCGTAAGCTGGGCCCCGTCTCGCATATCGCAAAGGGAGCCGGGAACCAGCTTAATGTTATCCGGTGCCCAGCCTCGCTGTCTTGTTTGATGGATGTCATCGCATTCCAAGTGTGCAAATAATGTCTGTCACTGGTGTGTCTGGTCAACGCTGGAATATCTACAGACTATCGTCTTATTGCTGAAATATTGGTGGGTGTGGCGCTAAACAAAATACAATGAAACAAGACAATGACCAAACAAACTAGTGGTTGATAGCATGAACGTCGGTTCACACAGTTGAGAGCTGTCCATTCTTTTTGGTGGGTGTGTAGGCAGTAGGCCAGTGTGCGAAATAGTTTCCAAATAGCCCGACTGGCTAGCAATGCCTGAAAGTTACTAGCCCACAAAATCATTCACTAGCCCGATATTTGAATGTAGACACGGGTTTCATCATTAAGCTGCTAATATGATGAACATTAATCAGGCCATAATCTTGTGTGATTTAAAAGTGTGTTATAACTTAACAAGTAGGAGAGGGTGATATATTTACAAAATGACCCCATGAAAATTCTCTAGCCAGTCGGGCAAGTGACTGTGGATTTATTAGTTTTTATTAGTCACGGGCTAGCGGGCCAGTGGCAATTTCGCACACTGCAGTAGCCGACAAGAATATTGTACAACGAGCCTCTGTTTTTGTTTTTCGCGACTGGCAATTATCGGAGGGTCTTCATGGGACGTGGGTGAGTGAGTGACTTGGGTTTAATGCCTCCTTGAACATTATTTCAGTTACATCACGGTTCCTCGTCTTATTGTGGTGGAATATGGCGCTGATAACCATGGTCCATAGGCCAGGGCACCCTGACACAATGTTTACAATAGACCAGGAGGCTCCCTGCGGATACTTACTTTTAAATACAGCATAAAACTGTCCTTACTATTTCACTAGGGGCGGTGGGGTAGCCTAGTGATTAAAGAGTTCGTCCGTCACGCCAAAGACCCGGGTTCGATTCCCCACATGGATACAATGTGTGAAGCCCATTTCTGGTGTCCCCCCGCCGTGATATTGCTGGAATATTGCTAAAAGCGGCGTAAAACAAAACTCACTCACTACTGTTTCACTACTTCGCAAAACATATCTAACATATTAACATATAAACTTAAACATATTTAACGAAGCTAGATGAAAGAAATGTCTTGGCGCAACAACTGTCGCGGCAAGGGAGAGAACTCTTACTTGACGCGGTGTGAGGCACTGGTTGGTCATGTGTGAGGAGTTCCCCGCCTGCGATGCTGTCGGCGTCAACTTCCTCCCTATTGCCCCAGATGTTGAGAGTAACTCCGAATTGCGACTTTTTCCCCGAGTGTCGATTTGACTTAGATTTCAGATGACGACCACGGGCGGCTGTGTTTGAAGGTGACTTGCACTTTGACCTTTTGATCTTTGAAGTTCGTCTCTTCTCGGTGGCAATGTGTTTCCGACTGCTCTTTATTGGTTCCGAAATATGTCCCTCGCGGCCCTCAATCCTACCTTCTCCCTCCTGCCTTTTGTTCGCCACGTGTCGAATTGAGGGGAGTTTTGAATATCCAAACATACCACTTTGACTTAGGAAGCAATCGCCCACAAAGACATTCTCCTGATCATGTAGGCAGTTCCTTCCTGCCAGAACCCAGTGTTCCTTTGTCTCAGGTGTAGCTCGGCCGAACGTCTCATCATCCTGCTTGTTGATGTCCACATTGAGAGTATACACCTGCCCACTACCATACCGGACACTCGACCGTCCCAGATATGGAGCCAATGCATTCAGCTTGAACACGTTGAGAGGAGCGAACGGAGGACGGGGCATATTCCGCCCAAACCTTTTCATCAGATCCTGGTAGTCCTGCGTCTTCCGCTGAGCGGGCATCCCCATGTTCCTCGCGTCCAACTGATGCCGGAGAACCTCCTCAAACTGCCGCCGGAGCAAGCATCCCGCCGTTCCAGAGTAACCCGCCTCCATTTGGGCACGGTTTCTCTCCTCCGCCTGCTTCAACCTCCTCAGTTTCATCAGCTTCACAAAGGACACCAGGTACTTGTTCCTCTCCACTAGTTCCTCCATGCTTGCTTTGAGGATGCTGTGGATGTTCTTCATCTGTTCAAACTCGGGTCTCTCCTGAGAGTAGCCCAGCTCGAAGTTCCGACACTGTTCCCGCCATAATGTGACTTTGTCGTCTGCTACCTCGCGCAACCCTTTCATCATACGATGACGGCTCATGGCTGACGTAGCTCGCTCGTGGTTGGCTGAGTATTTGTTGGAGACCTTCTTCAGTTTCCTGGAGTAAAAGTTTAAATGAGAAATGATATAAATTATGGACATTGTCAGTATTAATAGGGTAAAGCAAAGAGCACACGTCCTTAGTGTGTTTAACTGCGTAAATGGTGTCCGTTAAAAGTATGCATGACTTAATCGACAGAAATTCAAAACTAATTACATACGAACGCGTTAGTTTTTAGGGTATACAGTGATATAAAGAACAGCTGCAAATGGAGGTAGGGTGGACCGGACACACTGATGAGCATCCGGTCATATTTCAAATGGTAACTGCGGCTTTTGTATGATTGTGTTGAGCATTCGGAACCACTCGCTTCTTTCGATAACCTATTCCTATTCGTCATCACTCGTTTCAATCAAAAGCCAGCGAAAGGGCGTCATGTACCACTAGCGTCTTTCCGTAACCGTCCACAAGCATTTGTCACCACTCGCCCCCTTCCGTAACCTCCAAGAAGGTTTGTCCCGGAATAACAAGGGTTGGTCACGAATGGTCCACAAGGTAACAACTCTCATTCCGGGACGGGCCGAACTCTTTCGGTAGGTTCCGGAAAGGGCGAGTGTTGGCGAATGTGTCCCTAGGTGATGACTTGTGGTTGAGAATGTGTGAACACGGTTTCTGGATTCCGAACAAACCGACTCACCTTTTTATGACAACGAGCTGCTTCTCCAGAGCGTCTATCGCCCGACATGTCTTGTTGTACACGTGACACGTCCTGTCCAACACAGATGTCCCGCCGCCGTCACCGGGGCAACCTGTAACACACGTTGGAAAGTTACTTATGTCCCCTTACATCCAAGTACACCAAAACATCGACAGTATTAGAATACAACCACGGGTAAATCTAGTTCGTGAAGTTATTACGATGCCGTCTTCAGGTTTAATACATAATATAGACAGTAATATTTTAATTATGACTGTGCAAATAAATGATGTTTTATTCGCAGTTGCGTTAGGTTGACATTTAGAGTTATCTCCTGAAGGTCGTCGTCATGATATGAACATGATATGAGCATGACCTTAATTTGATATACTGGTACATCCGTGTTCATGATGACCACTGCCATATATAGCTGGAATATTGCTGAGTGCGGCGTAAAACTAAACACACTCAATATGCCAGCGTTTATTGTAAGACCATTCATGTTTATCACGGGAATCAAATATTATGCAGGGCTACTAAAATGTGTTTGTTAAAGAGGTGCAAATGACATACTGTCCACATCCGGTATCTGTTCTTCCAACTCCGACAAGTCATTGGCCAGTGGATTGATACCCTCACTAACACTATGTGGTGACGTCACAAAGTCTTCGATGACTTGTGGGTCAGTCGATGAAAGGCGATAACCTGGGTCAAACGTGCACGTCCCGTCTGTAAACATATACATGTAGATACATATACTCAAACAAAGAAGAAACGAGATCTCCATGCATCAATACTGAATAGGGGGGAGAACGTTAACGTCATACGATCAATCATTTGCCCTGTTTACTTCTCTGAATAAACTCCATGCCTTTAGGTTTGCCATGCTAGTATTCCTTTAGGGTAAATGTATCCAGAGAGTAAGTTAAATTGAGGTTTGGGTACGTTTCTTTGCTATGGTTAATGGTAAAAGGTGTTGATGCTATGAAAAATATGGGTTGTTGCAAAACTATTGCCCTTGTGTACAGGTACCTTGTGCTATCCCAGCATAACGGCTACTGTAGGTCAATGTTCAATATGTGATCAGTTACTGCTGAACACGTGAGTAATTTGAAATTTGTTGATTATATCGCACGTACGGAAAACAAACAACACGTTTTAAACAGAAATTCCACATATTCACGTAACTATTTTTTTGTTGCTAATGTATGCAAATGAACACAGCTGCTTGATTCCGTTGGTGTATTTATAAACGTGAAGTGTGCGGAACAATCACTGTTGAAAGCCCTCATAAAATCTTCATATTCTACCGCATGCTGCAGGCGCGTTGCTTTCGACATATGAAGCAATGGCTCTAACATATTTTGAATTGTCTGGCTATAGGCAGTGCTTGTGGATCTAGTGGAGCATATATAGTAAGGTACTTAATGATGTCTCTCAATAACTACAGGCACTGACTCATGGGTGGTCAGTTATCAGAGTATTCCCTTCCTAAAGACGATAACTGCAATAATTATCAATCAAGCTTTACTTAACAGGGCACAGTAACTAGAGTGCCATAAAGCACACACGCATGCACACACATAACAGTTCCTCATGATGATGTGGGATTGACACAGTGACAGCCTGGTGGTTCAGACCGCCTCCGTGGTGTAGTGGTTAGAGCGTCCGCCCGGGGAGCGGAAGGTCGCGGGTTCAATCCCTGACCGCGTCATACCAAAAGAGGTTAAAATATGGTACTTGTTGGTCCCTGCCTGGCGCTTGACATTAATGGGTACAACAAGGACTGGTCTGCTCGGAGTCAGTATAATGTGTCTGAGTGGGATATTCATGCTTCACTGCGGCTTGGTATCTCAGTGGGCTAGCACTATAAAACCAGCTTGAGTCTGGGCTAGTACAAGCAGCCGCACATACACATACACGCGCGTGCACGTCGTCATATGAGCGAAATATTCTCAAGCACGAAGTTAAACCCAATTTCACCTCACCTCATCACCATTAGTCGCCTCTTACGACAGAAATGGTCTGCAATCTGATTGTGAAGGTGAACTAGAGAAAATACGGTATCAATATTCAACTGGAACTACTCCTAGTTGAGATGACCTATGGGATTCCATGTGTCAAGTACGTTGTATGTCTGTTTGTTGATAGCTGACGGTTATTTATGTTTTGTTTTATGTATTTGCAGGTATTGTTTTGAGATGGTCCCTCTGGAAAAGCACCTGCTGGTGGTGAGGAGTCTTCCGGCTGTTCCAGGACCGGGGTGAGGGGACGGCGCAGCAGAGGGATGGAGTGATTCCACATCTGAAATGTACAACCGGGTCTAACTGAATGGGTATAATTTAACGGTTCAGTAATATTCTAGAAATATATGTTCGGCCAGTAAATATTTTTGTGCAGAGAATGGTTGATAACATGAACAGCGACAGTACTTTTATCCTGTCCCCATGTGACCTCGCCTACACGAGGATGGACTAAGGTGAGGTGAGGTGAAATTGGGTTTAACGTCGCGCTGGAGAATATTTCGCTCATATGACGACGTGCATGCGTGTGTATGTGTGGGTGCGGCTGCTTGTACTAGCCCAGACTTAAGCTGGTTTTATAGTGCTAGCCCACTGAGATACCATGCATCAGTGAAGCATGAATACCCTACTCAGACACATTATACTGACTCCGAGCCAACCAGTCCTTGTTGTACCCATTAATGCCGAGCGCCAGGCAGGGACCAACAAGTACCATATTTTAACGTCTTTGGGTATGACACGGTCGGGGATCGAACCCGCGACCTTCCGCTCTCCGGGCGGACGCTCTAACCACGGAGGCGGTCGATGGACTAAGGCTTAGGCTCTAAACATATATCATTTTGATAGAAACAAACGATTCCATTTTACTTGAAAAGAAGCCCAGGTGAGATGGGAGATTCAGAACCAGAGGAAATCTAGAGTTGCTTCATTTAGGGCTGGGCGGTGGGGTAGCCTAGTGGTTAAAGCGTTCACTCGTCACGCCGAAGATCCGGGTTCGAATCCCCACATGGGTACAATGTGTGAAGCCCATTTCTGGTGTCCCCCGCCGTGATGTTGCTGGAATTGCTGGAACTCAGTCAGTCATTCAGGACTTTAGCACTGCAGAAAGGCTAGACAGAAGGGGAAATAATGTGGTTCAGGGACTGCGAGGCAGACCAACACGAGGAAAGTGATCAACGCTGATGACACATTGCTTGGTATTATGCGGACCCATGGATCTGGACAAACAAAACTATTCATGTGTTAGTCGGAATCGCTTACAAATATCTGAACAGTAATCTGACAGGTACATATTTAAGATGTTTGAGTATCCACTTTTATCCACAAACTGTTGAGTCCGGACTTCTGAAAGATAAAACTTTCAAATGAACCCAAAAATATGTTATTGATCAGACCCACGTGGTCTTGTAAAGGAATTAATTCGGGAATTTAAAATTATTTTCATTGCTTTCTTCCGCGCCTTAGTAACCGTTAGGTATACCCCAACACTTCTCGTCTGCCATTATGTGACAACATAGATTCGTGCCACAGTGACTGGTCCTGAAATAATAACTGGTCAATTATCTCAACAGTGTGAAATACTAACTGATATATGGATGGATTTTACCGTAAGCCTTTGAAACCAATGCATGCGTTATGACAAAACCACGTGATACACGGAAATCGGTATGCTTAACGTATTTCATAACTAACTCTCTGAAAGACTTTTGAAAAACATGATTATATTCTACAGCCATGTTTTTTTCTTACCTCGTCGACTATCACATCTTTCTTGCGTAAACTTTCATCTTGTCACTCGAGCCGTGGCGCGTCCGGCATTTTGATTGACAGTCTCAAGTTATTATGACGTCACGCCATTGTCTCGCTAAAACGGAAACACATTACTTCTGATCTAAATAAGCTCTCTTCTTGAGGAAGTTGGAAAATATCTGTCACAAACATTCTGTGAATAAAGGAAGTAAATATATTTCTTTTAAATAGCCTTTGCAGAGACCATTTGGCGTTTCTATCATAAAACAATGACGTCATAGACTATGCATATACTTCTGACGTCATAATAGAGCAGACGAGACACACAGGTAGAAATTCACGGTCTGCTGACTATGCCCAGATTAAGGTAAAGTGTAAACATGATATACCACGTGATATGTTTTATGATTGACGTAAGGTGTGGACACTATGAAGGTGTAATAACTTCCTTTTATCATTGGGGCGGTGGGGTAGCCTAGTGGTTAAAGCGTTCGCTCGTCACGGCGAAAACCCGGGTTCGATTCCCCACATGGGTGCAATGTGTGAAGCCCATCTCTGGGGCCTCCCGCGTGTAATATTGCTAAAAGCGGCCTAAACCTATGGCTATTCATCAATGTTCAATATATACTCAGATAAAGGCGTAACAAACTATGTGGATCTTTGATAATCTCCCGTTTGACTGAACTTTGTTATCTCAAGAAATCAGCCTCGTCGCAAATCATATTTCTTGCTTTGAAACACGCGTTACAAAATTAAATGTTTATGTAACCTGTAGGTATTTCCTTTGGACTGCAATATTAATATTGTTATTTCAAATGAACAGAAAGATAAATTGCCTTAAATTAAACTGAATATACTTCTTTCACAAAATGGAAAAAAAGTTCTGTTAAATATGTAAAGCTAAATTTTAAAATAGGCTTTCAATCGTTTGACACAACATTGACGCCTAACGATTCAATAAAAGTGCACGTTTAGTCATAACCAATGTAAAACGTACACCTCTTTGTATACATCCGATATAATCAACGGTTTCATCGTGTTTATGTATTTTATACACGGGATATGAAACTTTGTTACTATAAGTACATGTATTTTAAGACAAAAAATATGATGTTACCTGTACATAAAGCTATTAATTGTAATAATGAGAGTCAAAATGACGGAAACAACCTCATAATGATGAACAAATATATGCTCGATATTAAAAATATATATTTGTTTTGAAATATTGTTTTAGAACTTGATTTGAGTTAAACAGATAGGTAACATGTGCAGCTTAAACCTATCAAATTTGTTATTGATTCAATGCAATATTGAAGGTCGTATTTATGCTTCGTCCAAAAAACGTCGAATTCTGTTTTGAAAATCGAATGTTTTTCAAAGCATTAACGAAAATTGGGCGATGTAAATAATAATCAATATACCAATGTCGCATTTCTCTCACATCGTACAAACCAGACATGGCGTCAAACAAACTGGTATCCAAATTATCATCGTTCACTACATTTGATTATAGGACTAGTTCTCCAGTAATAGTTGAGCAACGTGTCGCATAAATATACTCATGCCAATAATGGTTGTCACCCCCTTCAATTTTTTTAATTGGAGTGGGGGTGGGGGTGGGGGGTGATAACCATTATTGGCATGAGTATATTACCCCCTACACAATCAACTATATACATCGATGGATCTCAGGAATAACTGAAGTCTTAGACGGGAGCATCTATTTCTCGATTACTATTTTGGGGTAATACGATTTTCTAATACCTATGATGCGATTGGTTTCTGTATAGGTATTTGTGTGAAAACTGTTTGGCGCCTTGGGAACAAAAATAACACGGGAAAATACCGCCGTGGTCTATTGCGATTTTTTAACAAGGACGTTTAAGTTACAATGGCCAAGTTTGAAATATAGTGAAGTGTTTGTGCGCTTGTGTACCTCACTGTCGTCGAAGACGCCACTTTGAAAATTCGGATTTCTGTCATCCATAATAAGTTGTTTTCGTGTCGAAACAGCACTAGCTGATACCAGTGATGCACGTAAACAGGTATGGCACACCACGTTAAAATCTGTCTATCTCACGTTTACGGAAACGTTGCCGGGTTTACAACCCCTAACTAAATCTGGTGAAGTGACATTAATTAGTGCTGGAAGGGTGCTATCTCTGCACATGTCCGATTTCTCTAGATAGATAACTACACTAGATACAGGTTCCCGTGGATTTGAAGCGTTTCCAAAATATATCAATAAAACTGGAGTTAGTTGTGTTTATAGCTAAGGAATATTTTTGAAACATGTAGTTATCAGCTACAGCATGGGCAAGCTCTGTGGCTTGAGTTGCGGCTTGGTGATATTCTCAACACGGTGTGTGTGTGTGTGTGTGTGTGTGTGTGTGTGTGTGTGTGTGTGTGTGTGTGTGTGTGTGTGTGTGTGTGTGTGTGTGTGTGTGTGTGTGTGTGTGTGTGTGTGTGTGTGTGTGTGTGTGTGTGTGTGTGTGTGTGTGTGTGTGTGTGTGTGTGTGTGTGTGTGTGTGTGTGTGTGTGTGTGTGTAGCCTAGTGGTTAAAGCGTTGGCTCGAATCCCCACAAGGGTACAATGTGTGAAGCCCATTTCTGGTGTCCCCCGCCGTGATGTTTCTGGAATATTGCTAAAAGCGGCGTAAAACCAAACTCAGTCACTCAGTCAGTATGTATGTATGTATGTATGTATGTATGTATGTGTGTGTGTGTGTGTGTGTGTGCGTGTGTATGTATGTATGTATGTATGTATGTATGAATGTATGTATGTATGTATGTATGTATGTATGTATGCATGTATGTATGCATGCATTTATGTATGTATCTATCTATCTACGTAACTATACATCTATCAACCCATCTATCTATCTATCTATTTATTTATCTATCAACCTATCTTTCTGTTTATGTATCAAACTATCAATCTATTCAGGTCATGCAAGTCTGGGTATTTTCTTTGTTTGAATGACGACAACTTTGGGGTCAGGACATGACAGTTTTTTTGTTATTTTCTTTCAGATGAAGTATCGCACAATCCGGGACTGCCGCCCCCTGACGCCTATCGAGGAGGGGGAGGGGGGCGAGGAAGGTGAAGGGGAACATCCCCTCAGTGGGGGCCAAGGCTCATGTGAAGGTAAATGATCCCTTTGATCATATCTGTATAATATCAACTGCGTCATCTCACATGATATACGTGTCGGGTATCAGTTGGACGAGATGGTGGCTCGTTATGAATTATAGGCTTAAAAGGCGACCCTAAAGCTGTGTCATGGCTGTGATCAGCAGACTGTGTGATAAAGTGACCCTTGTAACATAATCATATTCAGACACAAACGGAGGCCGAAACATTAACTGGACGTGCCCTGTGCTCACTCAATCTCGCACTCACTCACTCACTCACTCACTAGCATTCATTCCCTGGTTAATTCCCCAAGTATCTAATGCATGTGTTTCTGTAGATTCGTTTATGCGTTCCTCTATTTAATCAAACATGCATGCATGCATGCATACCTAGCGTTCATCCCACATTAATAAGTCACGTGTTAGAGTACATCTGTTTATCTATTGACGTAAGATTCCATGACAGACATGTTGATATCATGTAGATATCACGCCACTGAAGGCGACCCTGGTGGCCGTGTATATTTCATGTATGTCCGGTGGTAAACGATGTATATCACAACTGCATTAGCAGCAGGGCGCTGATGGATATAAACGGGACAGCCGCATCAGTAGAAGGGCCGTCTCTAACTCTCAGTGCAAGTGCTGTTGTTTTGGTTTGGGGGATTGTTCTTTTTTAAATAATCAGACAAACTTTCCTGTCATGAGATGAACAATTGCTTTTCATTTTCCAACTTGGACTAATTGTTGTATAGCTGAATAGGTTCAAAACTGATATATGGAACACAGCTTTAGAGATGACCATCAATGAAATAAGGGATGATAAGTACTATATAGATATTGTTTGAGACGTATATACTCCTGTCGTTGTTAAATTTTGTTGGTGTGGTAGTAGCAGTAGTCGTAGTAGTAGTGGTAGTAGAAGCAGCAGAGGTATTCATGGTGGTAATAGTACTATTAGTAGTAGCTGTAGTAGTAGTAGTAGCAGTGGTAGTAGTAGCAGCAGTAGTAGTAGTAGTAGTAGTAGTAGTAGCAGTAGTAGTAGCAGCAGCAGCAGTAGTAGTAGTAGTAGTAGCAGTAGTAGTAGTAGTGACGTAACTGTACATGATCAATACCTCTTGACGCAACCCTCACACAAACATATGCAATACGTTATGCAGAGTTACTTTCTACCCACAGGCTCTGACCGGGGATCCGTCTCTCTATCTCTGACCCCCTGCGACTCTGCGATGACCCCCTGGGGCGAGCTGATGAGGGATGGTACCCCACCCATCGAGAACTCTGTGTCCCTCAAACACACTCTCAACCGGATGATAGATACAGCTACTATAAAGGTTGTCGGGTTTGAAGGTAACACTGAGATCAGTTTAACACGTGACCATGATGAAATTATAAACCAAATGATGAAATAAATATCAATAAATAATAAGTCTTTATATATAAAATGTGTATCACTTCTAAATGCGTTCGACCCGTGAAGATCCGGGGTAGGTCTTCAGCAACCCATGCTTGTCACAGAAGGCGACTATGCTTGTCGTAAGAGGCGACTAACGGGATCGGGTGGTCAGGCTCGCTGACTTTGTTGACACATGTCATCGGTTCCCAATTGCGCAGATCGATGTTCATGATGTTGATCACTGGATTGTCTGGTCCAGACTCGATTATTTACAGACCGCCGCCATATAGCTGGAATATTGCTGATTGTGGCGTAAAACTAAACTCACTCACTCACTCACTCACTCTAAATTCGTTCAAAGACTTTACTTTAAATATAGGTAAATAAATTTAAATTTAATTAGAATAAATTAGTGTAGAAGCCTATAGTGTTTAGAAGGTACATTATAGGTACAGGCCTATCGTGTGTTCTCTGCCGTGATATTGCTGAAATTCTTCTAAAAGTGACGTAAAATAACACCTTGTCACTCACTTTTGCAATACAAAGGACAGTCTCATACTGCCTGACCATGATAACGAAAGGATATGCCCCAAACGGTTGGAAATATGGTTCAACGACACGATCACGAATCGTCAGTTTCATGCAGGTTGAACGGAGCTGTTTGCCAACAGGACCATAATTATAATAGCTGGGACATCTGATTGCACTGCTGATATCAAGTCATCGATGGCGACAAAATTGAACAAAACATCAACAACAACGAAAACCAGTGTACGTTATGGACAATGAGACAGCTACTTCTCTGCCAGGGTGAAGAATTGCAGTGTATAAATGTACTCTGAACTGAACACCGCCATATAGCTGGAATATTGCTGAGTGCGGCGTAAAACTAAACTCACTCACTCACTGAACTGAACTTGGCTCCTGACATAACCTTCCAGGTCGGGGCTGTTATCAGCGGAGAATACCGGACATGTCCGAGAACTTCTCACCGTGGAAGCGACAAAGCCACTAGTGCAATCGCAGAGACTCCGAAGGAACACTGTAGATGTCTCTGTAAGACATTCGGGGGATGCAGAATACAACATATAGTATTGTGTCGACGATATCACAAAATACCCAAGTATCAGTGTTGATGTCACTTCACTGGCTGACATTGTGGGTTGGGATAAAATGTACAGTATTCTGCCTCACTTAGTGTCAGTATGGCCTGGCACCGGCATATTTGGTCACACTACTGGACACGTTCGTTTGGTGTGTAACACTATTCAGCAACTTTACAGTGTCTTTGAATAATCGCACAATCCACTGACTGAACATCGGTCTAGGCAATATGGACAAGATGACTTGCGTCAGTCGCCTCTTACGACATGGGACCGCCTCCGTGGTGTAGTGGTTAGAGCGTCCGCCCGGAGAGCGGAAGGTCGCGGGTTCGACGTTAAGACGTTAAAATATGGTACTTGTTGGTCCCTGCCTGGCGCTCGGCATTAATGGGTACAACAAGGACTGGCCAGCTCGGAGTCAGTATAATAAGTCTGAGTGGGGTATTCATGCTCCACTGCGGCATGGTATCTCAGTGGGCTAGCACTATAAAACCAGCTGAAGTCTGGGCTAGTACAAGCAGCCGCACATACACATACACACGCATGCACGTCGTCATATGAGCGAAATATTCTCAAGCACGATGTTAAACCCAATTTCACCTCACCTCACCTCTTAGGACATGCATGGCTTACTGAAGACTAATTCTGACCCGGAACGTCAAGGTTCTACTGGACAGGTAGATGAGCAAGAGATCACCGAATCGAAAATTGGCAGCTCTTGCCAGTACCGTATTTCCATCAAATACATTACGGAATGTTCCCTGTCAGTGTTCCTGCCCATGGATCTCCACAGTTGGACATGTTTGAACCACAACTGAAAGCTCCCTTGCGCGAGTTATATGTGCCTGTGCTGACTAGCAGTTTGCATAATGTTTATGGAGCTAGCGCTTGTCATAAACACGTTAAAAGCCTCTATTAGACTGAACGGGATGTTTTCTTCAAAGTGGTCATTCAGTAGCTCATAGTTGAGGCTCAGAGCACAGAATTGGCTTATGCAGACGGTAAGAGACGCCCAGAGACCTTTGGCATTCAGTGTGATGGGAAGTGCGACGTCCTCACACAAGACTAATTTAATAACTAGATCGTATATTTTGCGGGCACTGGTGTCTAATTGTGTTATCAAAGGTGGATCGACCACCATGACCACCCCATCCCTGGATCTGCTTCTGACGCCATTTTGATTGTTCTATTTATTGATCAGCCCCTGAAAGAACCTCCTGAACGTTAAAAGGCGAATGTCACATTTTAGGTAAAAATCGTAGATACACAAGCAACATTCATTTATCTGCAATGACTGTACCTGATCACCCCCTTACTTCACAGAGAATTTCGGGGGTCGACTGAGCGAGGAGGCACGGTCCCTGATGTGGAGCCTGTGCGAGGTGTACGGCAAGGCTCGGATGGCCATCGACCTGGTTGAGAAGGAACTTCTCAACAGCAAACAGTGAGTAACTCTTTTCTTAGTCCATAAACATCGATATCAAACATCGGCAATTGCTGATAGACACTAGGTCCCAGTTCCCCTTGTTTCCTCTGTGGGTTCAGGACCACAATAAGTCCCCTCATCCCTATGTTTGTGTCCTCGTGTGGATTCCGGCCTGAATAAGTCTCATGTTTTCTATTTTTGTGTCCTCATGTGGATTCCGGCCTGAATAAGTCTCATGTTTTCTATGTTTGTGTCCTCGCGTATGATCAGGGCCTGAATAGGTCTCATTCCCATATGCACGAGTCCCCGTGGGGGATCGGGGTCAGAATAGGTTGTCATACATTTAACTGTTTTACACTTCCAGAGAAATAGAAATCGCTCGACAAGAATTTGAAGAAATGGCCTCAGCCGAAAGTGATCTTCTACAGTGTGTCTGTAAAGCAAGAAGTCTAAGAGAAATGGCAGTCAAAGACGTTGCAAGATGGCGACGAGAATACAGACGAGCACTGGACAACAACGCCGTCCTGAAGCTGAAGATGATTCGGTACCAGCTGCACCACGATATGATAGAGAGCTCCTCTGTTGAAGTCTCCCACCAGAACCACAGCATCAAAGCCTTTATTAACATCTGTCGGGAAAAGGAGAAGCAGTTCCAACGATCCTCCAAGAATGGGCGACATGTGCTAAGGACGATCAGCCTTGACAGCCCTGTGAACAGCAGGAACTGCTGCACCCCAGAAGGCACTGTCCCAAGGTGAATCTGAGTCTCCCGAGACCGGGGCAGTCCACACTCCATGGTATCCCCTTGGGCCACAGGAGAAAGACCACTACCCAGGAGAAGAGGACCGTAGGCAAAATTGCCTCCATATTGTCTTGGAATTCAAGTAAGAGCTGATGTGTTGTATTCTCTTAACAACAGAACTGTGGTATGCTCAGGAATCCGTGTCCTCTGTCGTGATATTCCCTCAGTATGTTCACAGTAATTCTTAATTAAGGAGTTGACTTGCCTGTGCATGTGTTTTGATGTATGTCATCGGTGAGTATATATTCACCTTTACGCGAACATCTGACATCATAATTATTTGGTAGGGATTGACATGTTCAGGAATCGTCCGAATCAGCTTTTAGCGAGACGTCTTGTCATTATGCAGCTACTCTATCTTGCTAGTCGCGAGTTTGAGTCTCAGATTATAAGATCCTTTGTCTGACTGTGTCAGCGTTTATAGTGTGCCCCTTTGAGATGCTCCACGACTTTGATCAATTACTGTTCCAATGTATAGCAACCTTAGAATTTGAGCACTCCTCGTTTCAGGCCAGGGTTCACAAGACGAAGAGGTATCACCAACAGCTAGCACCACCCACCTACCCCACTTCACTGGCAGCACAGCAGTCACACCGGACATTACCCTCCACCTTGCCGGGAACCCACCCATCAACTCACCCGAGTCTTCAGGAGACCGACCTTCAGACTCCTTCCGGCTGACCTCAGTAACCCAAGACCGAGGCAAAGAGTCTGGAGCTCGTCATAAAAGGAGGAGATTTGAAACAGATGTCCTCAATGGTCAAAGACCTGGTGCACCAAGCATACACAGAACATGTACAGACACATCCGATGGTGAAAGGAGGGGTAACAGGACATTTCAAGCTGAAGTCTCGGCATCACGAAAAGCTGCAAATGAACAGTTAGCAGAAAACTCTGTGTTCCATGATAATGTTACTGCCTCAGAAGGTCCCTTCAGTTCTCCTATCAAGGTGTGTGGACATACACCGGATGGAATGGCTAAGACGGAATTCAACACCACATCATCTAACTGCAGGTACAGTCCAACCCCGGATGTCTTGACGACAGAGTCTCTATACGACCCTGCAACAAAATCCAGGAACCATTGGCGTCAAGACTACCGTTTCCATAGTGACCACTATTCGTATTGTTCCAATCGGTGTATATCCCCCGTTACTGCCTACAGAAGTCCAAAGCTGAAGAGAACCTCGAGTTGTGTTCAGGCGAGATCAGTCTTCTGCGATGCCGCCCACCACGAGTCTTGTAAGGCAGGGAATATTGGCCGATCTAAGAGTTGTGAAAGGGAGACTGTACTTCCGGTCTCGAATGTGCAAAATTACCCATCATATTTACCACCGGTACCGTGCCAACTTTACCACCCAAACCACAATAGTGGAAAAGTTCATCCACCTCATGATACCCGATCACTTGTCATCAAAGATAAGAAGATCATGCCCTCACTTCCCATGCTAGGCAAGTCATCTACACCAAAACCTACCATTCAAAGCCATATGTCAGAGTTTATGCGTCCGCAGCAAAGGTCTATGTCTCGACAGGTGCTCCCCAGAGTGTCATCTGCCGAAGCTCCTAGCACTGTGTACCACCAGGTCCTACTCATACGGAGTTGTCCTACTGAGATCGTTGGGAAGCAAAATTCAGCCAATCCACATTCACCGAAAATGTATGACAGCCGATGCAAGCAGTCGATAAATATATAATTACAGAACCACCGGAAGATAATAAAGGTCATTTTATTAAGATTTGATAATCATGTAATAATGAATATTGTACAATATTAAATGTTTCAAAAATCATGTCTTTTGTAACTTGTGAATTGATATTGTCTTTGAAATCCCTGCTGATATTTCAATGCATTTTCTACACTTTGGAATAATCGTAGACTTTGGGAACGCTATGGAACTGCTTTGTGCAAGAGGGAAACGGACAGCCCAACAAACGAAAGTTACACGCTATACAGAGTTGCGTCCCTTAAGTGTGTCCGGATCGTGGGTTCGATTCCTATATTCCTCTGTGGTCCTGATGATGATCAATATTTCGTCACACCCGTAAACGTCACAGACCTGCGTATCGGTTGGGTTTTACACCCTCATGAACCTGTCGTGGAGCTGATCCGTACCTGCACCCGTTGTATATGTGAAGTTGCGTCAAGCGATGACGCTGACCGGCAGAACCTCCAGTAAGGCAGGCGCTCTACTATTTCCTCTGAAATCACTTTGAACAGAGGTGCCACTGTCGATCAGTTGGTCCCAGACTGGTTCAGAAGAGGCTTCGGTTTTAGCATATCCGTATTCCCAGGTTCATATATGGCCATCCGTACACCCGACACGACTCATACACGAAAATGTTATGGATAACTTTGTTTTCAGTGTTTATAATTTCGGCGCTATCCATGCCAGTTTCATGTCATCACGTTCTTCTAACCTATAAATCAAATCAAAACTTTAATTATTCAAGGCGTCATTCAAATCCGATTCCTATATTAATTTGGAAAATACTCGAATCAGGGGTTTCAAACCACAGTAACTCCTGATACAACATCTTTATCATTTGGGGCGGTGGGGTAGTCTGGAGGTTAAAGTGTTCGCTCGACACGCCGAAGACCCGGGTTCGATTCCCCACATGGGTACAATGTGTGAAGCCCATTTCTGGTGTCCCCCGCCGTGAAATTGCTGGAACATTGCTAAAAGCGGCGTAAAACCAAACTCACTCACTCTTTATCATTCAGTTTAGGGTTATATTTGGTGGATTCGTGGAAAATGGATATCAGTACCTATAATGCTGAAAAGGTGATGGACTGGCTTATGTATGTAGCCTGTGCCATTTCCCCGATGACATTAATTGTATTTGGCGCCAAGCATTTGTCTGTTTGGTCCATACATCTGTATACGTCAGATGGAATGGATGGAATAATGCTCAAGGGTTTAAACAGCATGTACGCCCACTTGGCACAGTGTTCTCCCAGTGTATTAGTTCAGATCTAATGTCGATCGCAAAACAAATGTACACATGGTTTTAGTTAACAGAACAACGACACACGTGACATCTCAGTAGTCCGGAAAATGGAGGTTCCACAGAGCAGACCGCTCTATGTCACAGGAAGACATCATGTGCCGGAATCACCACATTCGAGTGATATTCTGATCTAAACTATGCCATGGTTGACGTATCATGACGTACAAGGACGTATAGTTACGTCTGTTGTACTTGTTAAAATGCCAGTGAATCCCTGGCTCCAAATCAACGGCAACAACGATGACGTCCTCATAATGACTTCTGTGTCCCCCGCCGTGATATTGCCCGAATATTGCTAAAAGCGGCGTAAAACTAAACTCACTCAGTCACTCATTGTTGTAAAAAAGATAGCAGCCTTGAGCGACTCTAGATACCACTTCACTCAGTAAATTGAGGAAAACTGTTAATTAACACTTTTTACCTATTTGTAATTACTTTTCCTAGAGATGAATATAAATATATTTATGACGTTTCAAACGAAAAGAGTTTTCTGTATAATTGGAAAGAAAAGAACCATTAATAATGCAAAAAAAATACCTTCGGGTTTTTCTTTACGTACGGTAACTGTAAGAAGCATTTTACTGTTGTACAAATATAGTGCTTGTACCAATATAGACCCGAAGACGCTGGGATTAGCATCACAGTACCTACTGTTTACCTCTCCCCTCACAGAGCGCCAGGAATCAATGGCACTTGGAATGTGTACAGTTAGGCAAACACGCTATCACCTGATCAAAGAAATACCAGATGAATCTATTCCTGTATTCCGTCAATGCTCAGTGTGTTCGGGTTGAAGTCTCGTGTTGTTGCGAGCTGGGCGAGAGGTGCACGTGTTTTGTGGGTTGTCTGTGAAGGTGGTCGGTTGTATTGTGTGAGTCACGTGTCGAGGAGGGGAGTCTTGTATCAGCCGTGTTGTAAAAACATGTATAGGGGCTGGGGGAGGGTAGGGGGTTTCAGTAGATGGATGGTAGAAGTGGGTATGCAGGGGCGGATACAGCTTTTTGAGAAGGGGAAGGGGGTGCACACTATTGAGAAAAGGAGGGGTGCACACTTCATTTTCACCCGAGTTTCAATGGACATTTAATAAACTTTCAGGACAAAAGGGGGGTTGCGCACCGCTGCACCCCAACCCCCCAGGATCCGCCTATGGTATGGTTTGGAGTGAGGAAGTATTTGACTATAGAGTGAGTGAGTTTAGGTTTACGCCACACTCAGCAATATTCCAGCTACATAGCGGCAGTCTGTAAATAATCTTATCTTACCTTCATGTGAAATACTTTAACTTCATTGGTCAATGACGCTTTAACATGTTTCCGTGTCACCCCTCCCAGGAGGGTGACAACTGGAAAAAATATTACCCGCCGCAAAAAACTCTCCGCCAAGAATCAGTATCGCTAACAATCGTATGACGTCATAAGATGACGAATGCAGTGTCCGGAGTTCTAAAACAGTTCGATTAGCTGTTTTTGAGTTCACTATGTACAGATTCTTTTACCGTCTTTCACTGCTTTATTTAAATTATAAACATCGAATCGTTTGCACACTCAACTTAAACATACTTAACCATTTTTGTAGCAGTGTTAACCTTGTCAGAATATGTTTCACTGATTTAAGAAATCCAGTCAAGGGCCAGACGCCATTTTGTTTACATATCATATAGTCAATAGCGATCTTTAAAATAAAATAAAATGATAGTTTGTACATTTAACATGGCGGTAAGATAAATACGTCGTATGCTCCTCCCTCTCGGGTAATACGGTCTGATGTGCGCCTCTTTGTAGCAGTGTCATCCCTCGCCTACCTGCTACAAAGAGACATACATCAGACCGTATTACCCTCGGGAGAAGCATTCAACTTATAGAGTCTGCACCAGACAATCCAGTGATCAACAGCATGAGCATCTTTCTACGCAATTTGGGTACGATGACATATGTCAACCAGCGAGCCTGACCACCCCATCGAGATTTGACTATAGAGAGATGTAAGGTTTGACACCGGGACTGACAACTTGTGACTGTTGTGAGAAGTAAAATGTGAAAAAAGCATGTTCAATGTTGACGTGTTGACATGGGTGAAGGTTCAGATATACAGGCGAAGACACTGTGATTAAAGGACACGAGTTTACTTATATATAGTGAGAAGAACGGTTTGACAGTGAAGAAACAGATTAAGATTTACGGAGAAAGAAATTGAATGAAGGCCACGAATTTCCCTTATAGAGAGAAGTATTTGACATTGGACGCTGGAATTGAGAGATAGACACTGATAGTTTAGGGTGCGGATAACTTGTAAAGAGGAGAAGGGTTTCACAGTGATGAGTGAGTGAGTATGGTTTTACGCCGCCTTTAGCAAAATTCCAGCAATATCAAGGCGAGGGACACCAGGAATTGGCTTCACACATTGTACTCGGGAATTGAACCAAGTTTTCTGCGAACCCAGCGTGACGATCGGACGTTCCAACCACTAAGCTACCGATCTTCCATGACAGTGAAGGAAGGTGACCAGTTCTTGTAACATCGGATATCTGACGTCATTGTGATTGTCTACAGTTAAGTTCTGTTGTGTAACAACCTGTGTTTACATGTTCAATGTTTAGACACTTCCGTCTTTGTTTGTCCTATTGTAGGAGACCGCCTCCGTGGTGTAGTGGTTAGAGCGTCCGCCCGGAGCGCGGAAGGTCGCGGGGTTCGATCCCCGACCGCGTCATACCAAAAAAGACGTTAAAATATGGTACTTGTTGGTCCCTGCCTGGCGCTCGACATTAATGGGTACAACAAGGACTGGTCGGCTCGGAGTCAGTATAATGTGTCTGAGTGGGGTATTCATGCTTCACTGCGGCATGGTATCTCAGTGGGCTAGCACTATAAAACCAGCTTAAGTCTGGGCTAGTACAAGCAGCCGCACATACACATACACATGCATGCACGTCGTCATATGAGCGAAATATTCTCAAGCACGACGTTAAATCCAATTTCACCTCACCTCACCTCACCTTTTGTAGGAAGAATGTATCGAGGATACTTTACGTTTGTTGTTTGTCCAATTAACGCTGCACTCGACAACGTTCCGGCTCTACGGTCTGTAAACAATGGAACATGGACCAGACAAGCCCGTGATGGTTATTGTCACACTGTCAGGCATGATGACACCCAATCCACCAGGTCCCCCGACCTATTCAATTCCCTTGTACGACCAGCGTGGGTTACAGGGGATCGATCTCGCTTCTTTATTTTTCATTGCGATTCTTGTGTATGTCATTCACCTCTTGGCTCACAGAGCTCCTGACACAGACGCCCGTTATGTAGTGGCGATTTTATCAATGAAAGATCCTCTCACAATTCCCTGCGTAATTCGAAAGTACCAGTGTACAGAATGCAGATGAGCCAAGTCGAGACGATATTTCTCACGCCTCATTTCAGACGGTGAACTGAACAGTATTGCAGACATCGTAGGCTTAATGACGAGAGAAAACCCCAGCCTTTGACATTCGACATGAACCTGAAATGCATCTTGTGCTATAGGGATCATCTCATAAGTCAACCAAGTATTTAATACAATACGCCTATCTCCTTGCATCCCTTGTATAGATCCCGTCATATTTCCTTGAATCGTCTAAACAAATCATTATTACAGTCCAAACGAGACTTTTGTTTTTCATTCTTTGGTTTCATATTCTTAAAAAAATCCAATGAGTTTTTCCACGTGAAGCATGAGACATCTTTGATGTTTTCAGCCCTTTACGGCAATAATCAACCCCTTTGAGGAGGTCAGAATGACACGATGTCATTGGTCCAACATAATCCGTCAATCACTTTGATGTTGATGACGTCATTCATTTCGATATTACTTCCGCGCAGCTGCGTACGAGTGATAAATTCTGTTGAGATATAAATAAACTGCGAGATTATATTTAGCAAAAGCATGAGTATCACTGTATTCTTGGTGCTC